GAAGGGAATGATTAAGTGCCTCTTGACCCTTCTCAGATAAACACAATTGACAACCTTGTTGAACAATTGTTTAGTAGTCCCCATTGTTTGCTCAGGAATAGTTATTAACGGATATGATATTTATGATTTGGGTCAAATCGACGTTTATGTTCGGTAGAATCTGTTTCAAAATTGTTATGACAATATTTCTATTAAGATTTCACTTTCTCTTCCCACTTCCCTCTCAACGTTGCTTATTGGCAGCCGTCCAAAGTTGACTGAAACCGTGATGACACGCCCTTGTGTAACCAGATGTGTTATAAACACACGATAGAAACATTCACTACATTTCTAAAGATTACATTTTTATGGGCGCAAGACAGCAGAGTCTGATTATTATGTTACATCTAAAACCTTTACGCATGGAACTTGAAATAATAGTGACAACAATCATAATTATTCGTACATACATATAAGTATTGCAGTATATTCAACAACACGTGCTCTGCGCATACAATCTGTAACTTACTTCCGCTCAACAGACAGTTGTCAATGTATATTCATATTTATATCAAATTTACCAGACGACCGTGTACATTATAAGCCAGAATACGTGGTTATTTCAATACACAAAATATGTAGATATAGCTGAGGTAGCCAACGGTCCGGGAGTACATTTAAATACGTTTATATCGCACTTCCTTGATTTGCTAGGGAAACTATCAATATCAGCTATATGTGACTTGTAGTCCGGAGCTTGTCCTGGCCAAGGATAGAGCACAGTCTGTTTAGTGAGTGAGTTTAGTTTTATAGCTTTTAGCAATATTCCAGCAATATCACAGAGGGGGACACCAGACATGGACTTCGCACATTGTACCCATGTAAAGAACATGACATAGGCCTCCTTCCATCCCGACATATTTTGCCCATTTTGTGGGGAATCGAACCGGGTCTTCGGTGTGACGAGCGAACATTTTAACCACTAGGCTACCCCATCGCTCCACAGCCTGTTTAAAGGACGAGAGATACAGTAGCGAATACATAGCGTACAGCCATAGACTGCATGCAGGGTTCGTTTAGGCATGCGGTCTGCGTTTGTGCGTTGATATCCATAAAATACAGTTTTACAATACAACAAAAGATAGAAAAACGATTTCCTAGTGTTTTCATGCCATATTCAATATTAAAACTTTAATAAACCTTAATGAATGTGAAAATAAATTCAGCTATAGAACGAATTCTGTGTTGAGTTAAAGGTGTCATTTTTACAAATACTAATCAATCATATATATTGATAACATCTGCCACGGAGCAAAGGGCTGATATATGTTACCATGGTAACAAGTTGGGGACACTATAGTTGTGTCGTTGCTGCAATCCACATTAACACCGGCAGCGTATCGCGAGGCACGTGTGTCCATATATAGGGACGTGAGTTAAGTGCTACAACGCCAGATGTCAAGCACTGTGTGTGCCAGGGTTCCAGTCTTACTGCCGGCTGGTTGGTGAACTTTATCAAACCAGTCTACTGCATTGTGGTCAGCAACAAGGCTGTGGTACTATGTTGGAGTACACACAGACTTGTACCAAGGTCGGTGTCGAATCCGGACCTAATCGAATTTGGGTTGTTACCTAAAAAGAAATCTAGGTTCCTTTACCATTTTTTTGCTTATGATTTGTTTGTTTGTTTGTTTGTTTGTCGTTTAACGCCGTTTTTAGCAATATTCCAGTAATATCACGGCGGGGGACACTAAAAATGGGCTTCATACTTATGTTGGGAGGCGAACCCCGGCGTGACGAGCGAACGCTTTAACCACTAGGCTACCCCACCAACCCCATTTTTGAATGAATCAAATTTTAGGCTCCGGGCGTTATTTTAATAGAATATTGCGGAAACCTCCCTCCCTTCTCACCCTTCCTGCCTCCTTCCCTCCTTCACCCATTCGCTTATTAAATCACTCACTCACTCACCAGTCGTCAGGATATCCGATCAAGTGAGAAGAAATTTGAACAGTTTAAAATAATAGTGATGAGCGCATGAATACTTCTCTAAGTAAGGCAGCCGAATTCCAGATTTGAAATGTGTTTTGATTGTAATGTATATGGATACATGACAGGGATTCAATTTCGTCGTGAAAGGGGTACGTCGGGTGGTCAAGGGGAATCACCAGCCCAACGCCGTGGCACATTGTTCGTAATATCGATCACTAGTTCGCCTGCTCAAGACTAAAACCTTTCCAGACAACTGTAATGTAGATGTCATGTAGCCTCGCATGGAACATCAAACAAGTACGTGACATAACCATGTCTATCTGCAATAAATCTAGATATGAAAGATCATAAATGACCGAGATTATTTTTGATGTACAAGTACTGAAATATGTATATAGCCGCTTTGCGAGGACATGTAAAACGCGATTCGTGATGATGGTTCATATACATACCAGCTAGTCTCGTCACAACAGCACGGCACGCTAGAGAACGCTTTGACGTATAGCTATATCAGAGGTGGGAATTCACGCAAGTCGAGAGATAAAACAAGTCATAAATGTTCTTATTTACACGGGGAGGGATCCAAAACAACATCAAAGTAGAACATAAGGCTGATAAGTGTGATTGGGGGACATCTCAGATGAATGAGTGAGTTTAGTTTCACGCCGCATTCAGCAATATTCCAGCTATATGGCGGCGGTCTGTAAATAATCGAGTCTGGACCAGACAATCCAATAATCAACAACATGAGCTTCGATCTGCGCAATTGGCACACGATGACATGTGTCAACCAAGTCAGCGAGCCTGACCACCCGATACCGTTAGTCGCTTCTTGCGACAAGCATGGGTTACTGAAGACCAATTCTAAGCCTGATCTTCACGGGTTACATCTCAGATGACGTTGTTATGTATCCTAAATTGTCTCAAGGAAACTTACTGCGTTAATCAGCCTCCATCCATTATAACCTCTGGTTTCCGTGGAGCCCCAGTGATGGTTGCAGGAGACTGACAACTTGATCGGGTTGCTCGGATCAGTGACCTTGATGACCGTCATCCTGGTTCTGTGTTCATGATATCGGCCACTAATATAAGATCCAAACCCGATTTACAGTCAATATAGGCGGAATTGTGTTGAGTGAGACGCAAAACAACAAACATACAAGAAAAACACAAACAAAACAAATAGGCCAGGTAGCGATCTATACTTCTCCACAACGCTAAATATTTCGTTAGCTGCCATGACGGATAGATTAAGAAAGGCGACACGTCCCTTCAGCTGTTATCCTGGTAATCATGGCTTTCAAACAATTCATATTAAAACCGGTTTTAGAGAGGAAATATATTTATCGCTCTCTGAACGTAAATCACGTTCACACGGCTTATCGTAAATTAACGATGCGGTGGCCTTGCCTTGGCCCCGTTTCACAAAACTGTCGTAAGTCTGTATTAGTCTATATTAGTACAGGAGGTACGACAGTCGTAGCGCTACGATAGCTTTGCGATACGGGGCCCAAGCACAGGCCCTCGTGTCTTTGCGAGGATGAAAGATTTTATAAAATATATACAAAAGTTTGAGATGACCCCGACTCGAAATGCTTCGCAGTATAATACATTATGTATTGTACTGTGGAGCATTTCGAGTCGGGGGTCATCTCAAAAACAATATTGTTTTTAATCATTAATCCTCGCAAAGACACGAGGGCCTATGGGCCCAGGTAGTTAATTAAAGCGTTCGCTCTCGCGAAGACTTGAGTTCGAATCTCCACATGGTTACAGTGTGTAGAGCCTATTACTGGTGTCCCTCGCCGTCTTGTTCCAGTCATATTTCTAAATATGGCGTAAAACCCAAACCGCTTTTGAATAGCGCACCCGTTGAGGAACAATCGACCTTTTATACCTACATATATATTATACCTATAATATGTATGTATTGTGTACTGGCGTGCAATAATTGTTGATTTTATATCCGGGTTATGCGGTTGTCATTGTCTGAATGACAATGGAGTAAGCCAGATATTTGTCCATTTATTTTAGCATTTTGTATGAAGCAGTTGTAAAGACTTGACTTATGAATATATTTCCGCCGTATAATCGGAAACGTCGGCAAAATGAAAACAGCTTCAATTTTGAGTTATTTTTTACATTTTCTTTGTCAAACGTGATGGGACTGAATTTAGTCAAACATACTAAATATTCGGACTGGTCTGTGACCCCGAGATTTGTAGTTGACCAAATAATCGGCGATCACCACAAAGACATAGACAGGCTACGCAACGCTGGTTTTCACAGTGTGTGCACGGACAGTAAATTCGAGTATCATGTGAGACGTTTGAAGACAAAATATCTTAATCTTTGTACTATTTTAGTATTTTCTGTACAGTATCATTTTCTTATCATGGAGTTAAAATGTTGGGATATTTGGAGTTCTAAATATTTTAATGGAATTATACACGTCATTAGTATCATCAGTACCGGTGTTGTGAGTGAGTGAGTTTAGTTTTACGCCGCCTTTAGCAATATTCCGGTAATATCACAGCGGGGGACACCAGAAATGGTCTTCTCACATTGTACCCATGTGGGGAATCGTACCCGGGTCTTCTGAGTGACGAGCGAACGCTTTAACCACTAGGCTACCCCACCGCCCCAGTACAGGTGTTGAGGGAAAGCTAAGCACAGCCCCAAGTATACACACATGCGAATTGACTAGCACTGGTTTACGTTCAGAGGTAAGCGTGTACATTCATGTACCATAATGAGCTTCATATGCATTATGGGGAAAAGAAACTAGACACTTGAAAATAAAATCTTACAAGAAATTATAAACATTAACAAAACGTTATCTTGCAGAAAACATTCGCCGAAACACTCCAAACTCACGATTCAAAACAGGAAAATGATACCATATTCAATGCATCAGTGCTGAATAAACTATCGTTGTTTCATTTTGGCCAGCAAACAAGGGCGTGTACTTTCTGTTGCCCTATTGTTTATACAATGGCTCATTCAGAACATAACCTTTTCAAATTTATTCGAGGGGAGTATGACTTCAGTGGCACGAGGAACAAGTGTATTACTCTCATAAACCATCACTCGGTGAGAAAATGAAGTCAACAGGTTATATTGCAGAAAGCCGCTATGAATCTTATGTACCCTCACCATGTTTACATGTTAAGGAATGGTCACTGAAGTGAAGTGGAGGGTGTCTCGCTTCGGGTGAGATACATTTGTCACATTTACAATGGAATGAAGTCAGGCTTGTTAGCGAAACAAGAGACAAGAGTCTACGGTCAGTCAGAGTGAGTGAGTTTAGTTTTCAGTCAGAGTGGATAGGGGCGATAGGTGTGCATTGCCGTTTTAGAAGACTCGTTGGCATCGTTGAACCTCGTATCCTTAATTATTTCAAAGTCTGGGGAGCAATGGCTAAGCATCGCGACTGAAGCTATAGCATCCGGTCGAAATTTATATAAGTTTCTTATTCTGTTAGGTATTCCTCAAAACGTTTTGATGACGCATTGTTCACATTTTTAATGGTATTTGGGATCAGTTTAGAACGTGTGGCTGTAATATTTTCCTCCGAATATTAAGCGGTCAGCTCCAGCAGATTTGCTTACTTCTAAACTCATAATTTGCGAGCCTGTGCTTCTCTTAACCGATGCGAACGCAATAAACCCTTGATAACTGAAGCAACCATTTTTGATATCACTCGGGGCGTACAATAATGTTCATGTTTGATGTCATTCATGATACACATTGGTGCCCATGTTTGATGTTTACATGGCGTACGGTAATGTCCATGTTTGATGTCATTCATGATACACATTGAGTGCCCATGTTTGATGTTTCATTCATGATACATGGCGTACGGTAATGTCCATGTTTGATGTCATTCATGATACACATTGATGCCCATGTTTGATGTTTACATGGCGTACGGTAATGTCCATGTTTGATGTCATTCATGATACACATTGATGCCCATGTTTGATGTTTACATGGCGTACGGTAATGTCCATGTTTGATGTCATTCATGATACACATTGATGCCCATGTTTGATGTTTACATGGCGTACGGTAATGTCCATGTTTGATGTCATTCATGATACACATTGATGCCCATGTTTGATGTTTACATGGCGTACGGTAATGTCCATGTTTGATGTCATTCATGATACACATTGATGCCCATGTTTGATGTTTACATGGCGTACGGTAATGTCCATGTTTGATGTCATTCATGATGTCATTCATGATACACATTGATGCCCATGTTTGATGTTTACATGGCGTACGGTAATGTCCATGTTTGATGTCATTCATGATACACATTGATGCCCATGTTTGATGTTTACATGGCGTACGGTAATGTCCATGTTTGATGTCATTCATGATACACATTGATGCCCATGTTTGATGTTTACATGGCGTACGGTAATGTCCATGTTTGATGTCCATGTGTTTGATGTCATTCATGATATGTCATTCATTTGATGCCCATGTTTGATGTTTACATGGCGTACGGTAATGTCCATGTTTGATGTCATTCATGATACACATTGGTGCCCATGTTTGATGTTGACATGGCGTACAATAATGTCCATGTTTGATGTCATTCATGATACACATTGATGCCCATGTTTGATGTTTACATGGCGTACGGTAATGTCCATGTTTGGGTGTATCTGACGATTTTTGATGTCACTCGGGATGAAGTTATAACCACATTTTACGACAATGGCTATGATACATAGTAACAGGAGTATTAGCAGCAGCAGTAGTAGTAGTAGTAGTAGTAGTAGTAGTAGTAGTCGTAGTAGTAGTAGTCGTCGTCGTAGTAGTAGTAGTAATAGTAGCAGTATTCGTAGTAGTAGTAATAGTAGTAGTATTCGTAGTAGTCGTAGTCGTAGTCGTAGTAGTCGTAGTCGTAGTAGTAGTAGTATTAGTAGTAGTAGTAGTAGTAGTAGTAATAGTAGCAGTATTCGTAGTAGTAGTAATAGTAGTAGTAATAGTAGCAGTATTCGTAGTAGTAGTAGTAGTCGTAGTCGTAGTCGTAGTAGTAGTAGTAGTCGTAGTCGTAGTAGTAGTAGTAGTAGTAGTATTTGTAGTAGTCGTAGTAGTAGTAGTAGTCGTCGTCGTAGTAGTTGTAGTAGTAATAGTAGCAGTATTCGTAGTAGCCCTAGTAGTAGACGTTTTCTGTCATTGTTGTTATTTTATTTGATATCTTCCAGCTACCTGTCCCTCTGTCCACTGGGTAGAACGGGACAACATGTGCTATCTGTTCCAAGCTACGGCCGTTTCTCACCCGGATGCAGAAGCGTCATGCGCAGAAAGTGGAGGAAACATCGCCTCAATCAAGGACGACCACAACGCATATTACGTCACGTCGTTGTTTACCTCCAGTAGTGACATAAATACTCTGTGGTCGCGCTACCTGCTGATAAAACACGACAGCGACGCGTATGTTACATCTAGACGACAGAACGTCTCAGACTGTGTCGGATGCAATTCCCTGAAACCCTTCTTCATCAGTCAAGGGATGAATGAATCGTGTATTGTGACTGGTTCAATAACGTCATCTTCAGCAACGTGGAACACCGCCGACTGTTCTGCAGTTCATCAAGTGATATGTGAAAAAACATCAGGTACGTGAAAAAACAGGAGGAATTTGGGATTGGGAGGATCGTGAAAAATACACAAGCTTATATAGTTTTGATATGGACACAAAATTCAGTGAATTCACAGAAATCTTAAGTATATATATTTGCGTGTGTATTCTCATAATCTGTAATCGTGTCGTGGTGCCTCTAAAAATGTGTACATCTGTAAGAAATGGTAAAAACTATCAGCAATCGCAGGGTGGGGCTGGGTACGGTCATCCTGTGTCACAGCGGCGGGTCCATTATTCAAGCTATGGGTTGTTTAGGTTGAGAGAGGAAGCTTGAGGGGTGATTTGAAATGGGCGAATATAAGTTTATGATTCACAACAATGTTTCCATGTTTCAGTATTCAGTAGTCTGGCGGTGAAGGACATCGCCGCCATTGCCTGTCTCGCGTTCCTCGTCGTTAGCTTCATCATCGTTATCACCATCGACCTCTTCAAGAACCCCGTGCCTGAAGACAGGAGGCGGATCTTAGAGGACAGGAACCTGTAGACAGTGCATGCTGGGAGAATCCCGTGCCTGGAGTCAGGAGGCGGATCTTAGAGGACCGGAACCTGTAGACAGTGCATGCTGGGAGACCATTGTGTCTGAAGACAGGAGGTGGATGTAAACAGTGGACAGTCTGTGATATCTGTGTACATGAGGGTACAGGAAGTAATTTTGACTTGGGTATGTTAGAGGTCGATGCAAGTGAATATTTAGACGAGAACTGAGGAAATCGTCCACATAAGTTCACTTTTAATATATACAGAAAGGTTTTCTACATTTTTGTGTACAGTTCGAGTATATTCGAAAATCAAGGTGTCAAAAAAGCTGATCATTTTTATGCAGATTCCAGATGATGCAGCGTTGAAGTACTAGGTGTTTACTGTTAGTGTTGTGGAATATCTGATCAGCCAAGAGGAATAATCTGAGTGCTTGAATCATGTATAAAAATATGAATCACTTCTACATTCCTAATTAATTACATTCAGCAATCATTTTGTCCAACCGATCTTCAATCGTGTATGATTGTGCTTGATGGATTATGTTTATACACGTTGTTTTGTGTAAATGTCTTCGCGTCATCTGTTGATCCACACTGCAACTAGTTAGTTCCATGAAACATAGTTGTGATAAGTTGAAACAATATAAACTGTGATTCATCGTCGTTCATGCCTCGTCAGGGGTGCAGTTGAAGGGTCTGGTTATTCGATATCCGGCGCGTCATACTGAAAGACCCTGGCTGACCCTGGCTGACGCTAGGAATAAACGGGGACAAAACAAGGACTGTCGGCTCGGAGTCAGTATACCGTGTGAGAGCAGGGCGTCCGTGATTCAGACAGTCACTGTAGTATCTGCTCATTCCAGACTTTACTGGAAGGAAATCAAGGAAACAGACAAGAAATGGTTATACGATGATAGCGCATTTGATCAAGATGGGTGAGTGAGTGAGTGAGGTTAGTTTTACGCCGCTTTTAGCCATATTTCAGCAATATCACGGCGGGGGACACCAGAAATTGGCTTCAGACATTGTGCCCTTGTGGGGAATCGAACCCGGGTCTTCGGCGTGACGAGTGAACGCTTTAACCACTAGGCTACCCCACCGCCCCTGATCAAGAAGGGGGTAACATAAATAGGTTATAGCGACTATTTTCAGAGACAAGGCTGTTTTCACTCAGTGCTATCTTGTCGTCAAACTGAGAAGTATTATTCCTGAGTTTATTGCATTAAACATATATTATTGTCCCAAAAGGCAAAGCATCTTGACACCTGTAATCGGTTCAGGCGATTGAAGCAGCTCGTTCTTATATACACACATATTCAATGACCGCCTCCGTGGTGTAGTGGTTAGAGCGTCCGCCCGGAGAGCGGAAGGTCGCGGGTTCGATCCCCGGCCGCGTCATACCAAAAGACGTTAAAATATGGTACTTGTTGGTTCCTGCCTGGCGTACGGCATTAATGGGTACAACAAGGACTGGTCGGCTCGGAGTCAGTATAATGTGTCTGAGTGGGGTATTCATGCTTCACTGCGGCATGGTATCTCAGTGGGCTAGCACTATAACACCGCTTAAGTCTGGGCTAGTACAAGCAGCCGCACCTACACATACACACGCATGCACGTCGTCATATGAGCGAAATATTCTCCAGCACGACGTTAAACCCAATTTCACTTCACTTCACATATTCAATCATCATTTCCTAGCATACATGTAAGGTATTAAACGACTATATAGAAACGTTCAAACCTCCACAGTTGTCCATTAAGTGGTATCAGAAACTGTATTACTCATATGATAGATCTGACCTTCTAATTCCGCGATGTGTATCAATCAATTGCTTGTCAAGGACATCGTGAAAAGTTCATGATACAGGTGAAGGAAGTTAAAACATTGAACACACACAGCCTGAAAGCTGGAATCCGAACAAAATAACACACTAGAAAGGCATTTATAAAAAGGATACAGTATTTACTGTAATACGCACCTTCCTAATTAAAATGATTTACTTTTTTAAAGATTATTTAACGAAACTACAATCAGGGAAAAGGTTGTCAAGAAGCAAAGGGAGATAACTCTTATAGCTCTACTGTACCATCAACACAACTCAAGCCTGGGGTTTATTCCTAGTTTCTTAGCATTAGTTGTTGTATGGCTGTTACTTCATGATTATGTAGCCTCCCATGTGCGGAACAAGGATGTACTATGACTGTTCTAATTATATATTAATCTCGCAACGACGCTTTCATTGAATATACACAAAATTACATTCGAATAACATTTCTCGTACTATCTTCTCTCGAGTGCTCGAGAAGCGTAGCGTTACTGACCTGTTGAAAGTCAGGATGTCATTTCTTCACAACATTTGTAAGCCAATCATTCATTGCCTTTTGTGACTTATCACTTTATAGACCTGGGTCTAGATTTTCGAAGTTCTCTTAGCGCTAAGATAATCGATTACCGTCATACATTAACATTAACTTACGACTATCTTAGCGCTAAGAGAGCTTCGAAAATCTCGACCCAGGTGACTTAGGAAGTGGGTTAGTATGAATTTACGCCGCTTTTAGCAATGTTCGAACAGTATATCGGCAGGGGACACCAGACATGGGCTTCACACATTGTACCCATGTGGGGAATATAACCCGGGTCTTCGGCGTGACGAGCGAACGCTTTAACCACTAGGCTACCCCCCCTCCCCGACTTAGGAAGCAATGTGCTGCCCTGGGTGAATTATAAGTCCTGAGTCTCACACAGAGAGACTTTGTCTTGTCTTGTCTCTTTATCAAATATATCTTTCCTAAAAAAAACTACATTCATCCTTTCTATATATTCTCTGTTTACATAATGTGAACAAAGTACTTTGTGCCTCAAATTTCATTAAGATGTATTCATGTGATGATATTCAGAGGATCTTGTTCGGACCTGAAAGATGTTTTTTTCAAGAAGGAAGACTTTTCAACTGTTTTTCAAAGATACTTGTTAATTACTCATTACCACAGTTTTGTTAATTCTCTTTGCTATGTGTGTAGAAGGTATTGCGGATCCAGTCTAAAGACATATTTTTCGACACAATCCCCTTCCACAACGACGCATTCTTGGTAACGATGTTGAAGGGATTGTAAACCAGTAGCGCAGAAATCAATCTCTGGACCGTCCAAGACGCAGGTTATGACATATTTGTTCCAGCCCAAATGAGTTAAGGCTTACGTTTTCTTTAATGTTTGGGAACAAAGGAGGGGGCACATAAACCAGCTACATTTTTCCTCGCAAGTACTCTCTGAGGACATGTAGGGGTACGCATCACCTTATTCAGATGATAGGGTTTTTCCTCTAGGTGGTTATTTGTCCGAGGTCCAGTATGGTCGCGGCAGTTCCACATCCTCAGGAGAAACTTGCCATGATCATCAACCCATGTGTCATGTAGTCAAGCAATTTGTCAGTGTGTCGGATGGCTAGGACTTCTCCCTATATGAATACTTTGCACCATGTTCATTGGGAGAAGAGGGTGCACTGCAAGGTTTCAAACCCATCTGTGGACGTCAGTGTCTTGTTGCTTGGTTTCACAGAAACCAAGATTCTGCACCTAACTCAACAGGGCCCAGTAATAATGAAAGTAGACCATCGAACATTACTGTTTGGGAAAACAGTTTCTACAGCATTGGTAGCAGCGACTTGGCTGGATCACGTCTATCTGCAAAGGAGAGTCTTTTGCTTGCTGGATCTTGTCAATAAGAAGTCCAGCAACTAGTCCATGGAACACATAAAGCTGGTCCCAAAGAAGTGGGTAAGGATACAAGGAGCTGTCCATGCAGAAAATATCGAGCTTCTGCAGCAGGCGAAGACCGTCACTTTGGCGAAGCAAAAGGAGGTTGACATCCGTCTCTTCTTGTCCAGTCCACTCTTCAGGTAATGAACGGGGGAACTGCAGCCCTCTCATGGTGATCAAGTTGGGTACTAATGACTTTCTTTACTGTGATCTGAATTGGCGCTGTCTCAGACTATGCTTAAACTAAATCAACACAATCTGTACCTTTTGTTGTGTGTTTGTACATTTCCGTCTTACCTTCCACTCAAACCCCTCATTGATGTATTGTGAAACACTGTATGTTTTTTTGTTTGTTTAACGCCGCATGCAGAATTATCCCAGCTATATGGCGGAGGTCTGTAAATAATCGTGTCTGGACCCGCCAAACCAGTTTTCAACAGCATGAGTATCGATCTACTCAGCTGGGATACGATGACATGTAGGGTCAACCAAGTCAGCGAGCCTGACCACCCGATCAAGTAAGTCGCCTCTTACGACAAGCATGGATTGCTTTATTCTAACCCGGATGGTCAGAGCATATACGGTCAATCTGTTTTAATATCATCTACATTAAAGTGAACAGGGAGTAGAATAACACATGTGTTCGGGGAGGTACAACACAGTCACTACTCCAGAACAGCACACTCTGTAGCTGATAATCCCTGAAGGTTTTAGTAGACTCGCGGATATATCGTGGATTATCTCAACCATTTCTGGTCTGTTCCACAGACCTTCCAGGATAGTGATCGTCCCCTAATTGCCTCCCACAGTGCTGAATTCATACTTTCTGGATGACTCTTGGAGTTACGTCTTGCAGTTTTCCAAATGCCACATACCATTGCTTATATTAGTGATTTGTCAAAACCAAACAATTTGCTCAAGTACTTTCTTAAGGATATGCCTCTCTGACACAATGGAATGTCCAACACAAAGGATTTCGAATCTGGACCGGCCAAACCAGTGATCAACAACATGAGCATCGATCTACTCAACTGGGATACGACGACATATGTCAACCATATCAGCGAGCCTGACCACCCGATCCCATGGGCTGCTGAAGACCAATCCTAATCCGGATGGTTAGTGCATATACAGTATGCACTGTTATTCCCTGTCCATAACAAAAGATTGCACTATTTTACGCAATTCCCACTTTCTGAAGCCCATGACATAACAGGCATTCCTGGCATATTAAAGCCGTTGTCGTCATACATGATCACGTTGTTCAGTTTAGCTATATAATGTTTTATGAGTCTGTTGGCCTAATTCCTGCAATGATAACCTGATTTAATGCAGATCTTGACGTTTAATTATGTTACCTAGGCGTGCCCACACTTTGGCCCAGGTCAGGCATATTTTTAAGACCCTAAATATGCTTTGTTGGGTCTATTTTTATACATATTTTTCTCGTGCTATCACAATGTACACGTAAGATTAACCTTCCTTGTCCACATATGGAGATGGGGTTTTAAAATGTTTAGTGCATCCGTGTCATTAAATGATTTGGGTGTAAGATCAATGTCCGGGATCTGTATATGGCATCATTAATATAATATTCTTATGGTGTAAGACTTATAATTGTATTTTTCATGTGGGTTCTAAAAGCAGAATGTTTGCGTTGTACGTTGTGCCTACAAGACGCATTCGGAACACTAATTTATGACTAAATATTGCTACAGATAGAGCCAGAGCACTGTACTTCATCTGGATATGTGCTTAACAGTCTAAGATATCAACAAGACGACAATGTAAAAAGGTATGCGCTCAGCTTTGCTACTCAAACATTTCGGCATAAATAATTAAGACAATGGTATTATTAAAAAAAACAATTATCTAAATTGCGACATTATTTCTAAATCTGCAAGAAGGAATGTCTACGGTTGCATGATATCGCTGCAATAAACGACAGGTACAATATTTTTCACTAAGTTTCGACTTTGAGGACAGAAAATGTTTTTTGATGCCATATCATTGTCAAAGACACGGACGACAGAGGAGTGAGTGATTTTAGTTTTACGCCGCACTCAGCAATATTCCAGCTATATGGCGGCGGACTTGCTTCAAGACACGCCCGCTTACGTCATTTCCGCCATTGTTGCATTCTGGCGATCAAGGTGGACCTTGAGATGACACCTGTATGTCAAGGTGCTAGCTGCTCAAGATCACTTTGTCTTACCGTCCCAACCCGTAAAGATCCGGGGTAGAATAGGTCTTCAGTAACCCAAGTATGCTTGCCACAAAAGGCGATTATGCTTGTCGTAAGAGGCGACTAACGGGATCGGGTGGTCAGGCTCGCTGACTTGGTTGACACATGTCATCGGTTCCCAATTGCGCAGATCGATGCTCATGCTGTTGATCACTGGATTGTCTGGTCCGGACTCGATTATTTACAGACCGCCGCCATATAGCTGGAATATTGCTGAGTGCTGCGTAAAACTTATCTCACTCACTCACTCTTACCGTCCAGAGGTCCTGTATTTTACGTCCGCCTCATCCACTATGTAAAAATAACAACTGACAAGTAAACACATTCCTGTGTATGGTTTCGTTTACTTTATTAAATGAACATTTAAGTATTTCTCTACAAATTGAACATGACAATGATATTTACAAACATCTACATGTGCCAATATACAAAACGCTAAGAAAACGACAAATAACAGAACGAAATCCCCAAATCCAACCAAAACAAAGGTTCCTGCTTTAATAGAAAGTCTAAAAGAAAAATGACAATTCACGTTTGTATAGTATTCTGAAAACAAATTATACCACAACATTCAAATATGGCACAAAACGTGAAACACCTGTACTACACGTAACGAGCCTCCAAACTGCATAATATATTATGAATATGAATCGGTGAAAATGAAATGATAAAAGGGTAACTGTTTAACACTGACTGGAACAAGTTAAGTTCTCCCCAGCTAACAACTTCACGTTGTCAAAACGTTTTGCTTTCGTTGTTACAACGTCATTCTGTGGACTCCCATGTACGTTCCACAACGTTGTGGCCTGACGTTGTGATCGTATCGTGATCGTGCTAACGTATTTTACGTTGTCTTAACGTTCTATTAAACGTTAATAGTTGAATAGTTTTCCCAGTAATGAACAGTACATATGAAAGAAAGCAGAAATTCACTTCAATATCTATTCGTCAATTTGTCGTTTTGGTCGTGTGTTTTCTGAAGCTGTAGATGAATGGTGAAGAAAGAATCTCAAAGTGAAAGGTTTTACAGAAAATATTCTGACACCAAATCATAAGAAACGTTATAATAACGTTGTGAGGAGCCCAACGCATAACGTTTCCTCAACGGTAAGTTTACAACGCTGTATATAACCTTACAAAATGTGTTGTGACATAACGTTATAAAATGACGTAAGACTAACGTTGTGACAACGTTGTGCCATGACGTTACCAATGTACAACCTTCCCACAAAGTTGCGAAAACGTTGTATGTTAGATGGGATGTGCTTTCTTTAAAACTTGTCTACCATGGGTGACATCCCTTTGTTGAATATGAATGTTCTGACAGGCAGTTCGGTATTTACAGCAACTACTCCAAGAGAGAGTCAGGGTTTTTCGTTTTCAGAGAAAGTTGAAAATAGTTTTCATCACACATATATATTCCGTCAGTGATACAGGGCTGTTTATCACCAATAAAACACGTCTTGCTGAAGTGTCGTCTGCTGGCTTGTGTGTGATATTTTCCCACTGATAAATCGAGAAATTGTCTTTTTGGTCTTACATGGGGTAAATATACTCCGGTCTAGCGGGACTGTCTAACCAATCACAGTCCGTGTGCAGCAGCACGCGCTTCCCGCGTTCAACCAGCACGAGCTTCCCGTCCATCTCGATCCCGCCTGTTGACATGGTAAGAAAAACACAAACTAGTCATGACGTCATATCATTAATTTCACATAACAGTGATCGAAGGCATCTCCTTTCTCTATGCAGACTGGTGACCATTAACAGTTCGAGGATCCGAAGGCCATATGGTTCCATTATGGTTCCAGGCCAGGTTGTGATGTGTGGATTTGACAAAGAGGCAAACCTTACAGTCACATTCCTCCTGAATCAACCTGACCAAGCTGTGATGTTACTGAAATACTGTTCAAAGCGGCTCTCAACAACACCCACTGACGTCTCCAATCTATCAAACAACTGTAATATATCAAACTGAACTATGTATTATATGTTATCACGATTCATATTCGCGATCTGACATACTACTGGATATTAATGACCCGTGAAGATCCGGGTTAGAATTGGTCTTCAGCAACCCATGCTATGGGGAGTCGAACCTGGGTCTTCTGCGTGACCAGCCAACGCTTTAACCACAAGGCTATCCCACCGCACCTATAGTTTTGAGAAATATAAAGCATTGCCATGGTTACTTACTGTTAGTTCTAGAGAGTTCGTAGTCGTAGAAGGGGTCGTCCTCCAAGGGGTCAAGTCTCATGCACATGATGGCGTCCCTGTCGGTACCCTTGTAGCCAACGTTTCTGAAATAGTGACATAATGGGTATACAATGTGATCATAACTCTGATGATCGAACGTTTGAAGAAATACGGCATTGATTATCGCATCAAAATACTGTTAAATGCTCCTGACTGGAAGGGGCATCTGAAAAAGGAACGACGATATTAGATTTGTGTGCTCACACTATTGACCACTTGCTTTAACCTATTTATTGCTTAATACCACAATACCCACACATGCACTATCCACGTTGCTGGCAAAAAGGAGGTGTTCACTTAAAACCGGATTTTGCGAAAGAAATACACAGTCAGGGAAACAGTTCTAAATTAAGGTAAAAAACAGCCATGATACTGTCGTCCCTCCACCATGTCGTAACCGGGATTTAGGTGTTAGTAAACCCTTCTGCCAGTTACCTATTAAGATGGCCGTTCCGCATTGTCAGGGGTGGTGTAAGCTCAAGTTACACACTCGCTTGGTCCATGGGAATGTCAAGTCTAGGAGTGAGAGGTCAGACGACTGTAACTCCTCAATAACGACATTTCATTCATGTACTGGCACTCTGGCATACCAGGAATAACTCAACACTAGGTTCTATACTCACATAGGTTTACTCGATCTCTCTCGTCATATCAAGGTGACGTGGTCAGGACAGGATAGGGCAAGCTCTTTACCAGATATGGAACTGATCGATCGCGATGTGAACGTTTTGCTGACTCTGCACCCCGCATTACGTTCTAGTGCTGACCCATCTTTTTAAGGTGTTCGAGCCTGCTCCACCCTTGTCACATGACCACATACAATCCCCCCCCGATTCGTTTAAAGTTATATCATTCCATGGTCTCATGTCGTACCTCATGATCGGAGAATTACTGTAACCTCATCGGTGAATCACTGTTAATTGCTACTTTAAGAGTCTTTTCTGTCCTGTTACTGACAGCTATCCTGTTCTCTATCCTTTAGTTTATTACAAAGCAGAAACAGCATTGATTCTATGACGAAATAACCGTAATTCTCAATAATGGATTTGTGATACGTTTCTTGTATAACGGATGCATTTTTCACCTTATAACAATACTCTTACCAAATATAGTTAAACACCGGTGTGTCGAACGTTACATCTATCGAACATACAGTTGTCTTGAAGAAGTAGTTTGGGCCTTAATTTAGTCATCATTATGCCGATGAGTGGACCTTCGGATAACTCGAAGCATTTACGCAGGTCTATTCAGCTTCTACATAACGGAATTTGAGTGTACATCACAATCGAATAACCGCTTCTTCTTTGGTTCATTTCTTGCCACCCATGAAGATCCGGGTTAGAATTGGTCTTCAGAAACCTATGCTGGAGGCGACTAACGGGATCGGTTGGTCAGGCTCGCTGGCTTGGTTGACACGTCATCGTATCTCAATTGCGTAGATCGATGCTCATGATGTTGGTTACTGGATTGTCTGATCCAGACTCGATTATTTACAGACCGCCGCCATATAGCTGGAATATTGCTGAGTGCAGCGTAAACCAACCAACCAACCAACTAGCCAACATTTCTTACCACCGTCAAACATGGGTGGATAGCTTCTTTTGTCACACATTTGACGTTGCGGCGGCAAGAGAATAACCATCTCTGCGTTTGTTTCCGACTAATGTTCTATGCCGCATTAAACAACATTGAAGTTATTTCAAGCCGGGGCGGTGGGGTAGCCTAGCGGTTAAACCGCTGGCTCGTCACGCCGAAGACCCGGGTTCGAATCCCCACATGGGTACAATGTGTGAAGCCCATTTCTGGTGTCCCCCGCCGTGATGTTGCCGGAATATTGCTAAAAGCGGCGTAAAACCAAACTCAGTCAGTCAGTATTTCAAGCCAGCCAGTAATGTTTTATACTGCAGAGTGAGTTTAGTCTTACGCTGCTTTTTAAACAATATTCCAGCAATATCACGGCGGGGGACACCAGAAAGGCTTCATGTTTTATACTGGGATATACGAACCAGTGGTTGATGTTATGAGCAACGACCCTCATCGTCGGGGTGCGATGACACATAATCGACAGTATCGTCAAGCGTGTCCTCCCCAATGATAAAATCCGGAACCCACCTTATGACGAAGTTGTCCCTGTCCCTCGAGTCACAGTAGAAGATGTAGCGTTCGCCGTTCAGGAGGTGGAGTGTCAGGTTGTTTAGGGAGAACGTCAGATGGTGCGCATGTCTATACGTGTAGTTCCAGTCTCCGAGCAATTTGGCGGGGAACTTACATCCGGGACCTAGGCAGAGATGACTGATCATTAGTTATCGGACGTGTTTGCAGGCATCATTTCGAAATACCAAGGTAGCATTTGGAATATATGTAGATATATAGAGAACTATATGACAATACTGATACACTAAAAAGAAAGAATACGCGGGGGAATGTTGTTTTACGCCGCAGTGAGCAATAATCCAGCTAGCTGCTAGAGATCGAGTCCGAACCTCGCCAACCAGTCATTGAAAGCACATGCAAAGATGCTCGTCACTCAGTCAAAATGGCCCAATCACAGTCACTGAAACCGACCTTCTTGTTTAAAGCCCCGTTTCCAAACCAGCCTCGGGATATATGATAATTAGATCGATGCTCATGCTGTTGCTCACTGGATTGTCTGGTCCAGACTCGATTATTTACAGACAACCGCCACATAGCTGGAATATTGCCGAGTGCGGTGTTAAACAAATGTCCAACAAGATAATCATAGACCAGATGTCCACACGACGCGAGTGACTCTGTCTGAAGGTTCAGGCCCGACAGGATGACATCAGAAATGGACTCCACACAGTGTACCAGTGTGGAGAGTCATACCAGGTATTCGGTGTTTATATCCAATAGTTTCAAATGTTCCAAAAGTCAGACGTGGCTGTCCCCGGATCACGGAACAGAAAAGCCTCAGTCAACACCCATGTCTCAATGGAGGGTCCAAATCATACATACAATGACTTCGGTATCAACGAGTTTGATGTGCATTGAACTGGTGGGCCCAGTATTCAAACTTGTATAGGTAGATGTACCACTGACCCTCGGATCACAGACCCCAAAAGAAGAGAAGAAATTCTTCGGGAGCTGGGCATAGAAACTGCCTCCATAGAGTTGATCTACAACAACCAAGTCATTCAAGAAGGCATACGAAGAGCATGCCATTGAGTGAGCTAATGGTGTTTACAGCAATATTGTAGTAATATCTTGGCGGAGGACACCATTGTACCCATCCGGGGAGTTGAGCAAGGGTCTCAGGCGTGACGAGCGAACGCTTTGACCTCAAGACTACTGATAACTTCCAAAAAGAAGAGATGAATTCTTCCTTAATGATGGATGACAACTGGACAATAATACGAGACGGTCGAAATCTTCAGTTCTGAAACCACCCCGACATACTGACATCGATCAAAATCTCGTCAACCAGTTAGATCACGTGGTTGGTTCACGATAGATGTGATGGTCTGTCTTCAAATGAGATGCCGATGAAGACGTTACGGTTGCAGCAACTACTTAACCAACATTCGTGCTGGTGTCGTAGTGTTTAACTTGACTTAACTGCCAATATTATGTTTGTGTCTGTGTTGTAATAACTGAGATGATAGTTGGTTTCAGTGTTATTGAACTACTTGCAGTCATGTTGCGTTTTTAATTTGTTCAGTATAGTTTCGGTACATTCCATGCGTAACTTTTCATGACTGTATCATTAGATAATATCACCAGTGGTATTAAGTGGCATAATAGCTGTATATCAATACCGCATCTTACTCAAAATCTTTGATGTTCGTGTTCAGCTGTCTTATCTCGGAACAGGCGAAATTGCCAATATCCTTCCATGTTGGCTCTGCGCCCTTGAAGTCATCACTTTGGCAGTATGTTAACATTTGAGAAGATGTTTTTTCACGATGTGCTTGGCAACAAAACGGAGATTTGGACGTCAGCAGTAGGCCCCATGTTGCTTTAAGGTTCGACGGAGGTATCAGTGAATAGATACAATGTATCTAGTCACGATTATCAGTGAACAGATACATTGTTTTAGTCACGATTATCAGTGAATAGACAAAATGCATCTAGTCACGACTATCAGTGAATAGATACAATGTATCTAGCCACGATTATCAGTGAATAGATACAATGCATCTAGTCACGATTATCAGTGAATAGATACAATGCATCTAGTCACGATTATCAGTGAATAGATACATTGTTTTAGTCACGATTATCAGTGAATAGATACAATGTATCTAGTCACGATTATCAGTGAATAGAGACAGTGTATCTAGCCACGATTATCACTGAATACATACAACGTATTTAGTCACGATTATCAGTGAATAGTTACAATGTATTTAGTCACGAGTATCAGTGAATAGATACAAAATGAATGTATTTAGTCACGATTATCAGTGAATAGAGGCAATGTATCAAGCATCTATATGTAGGGATAATATATCTAGTCACTATAGACGGTGTATTGAGGCAATGTATCTAGTCACTGGTATCGGTTTAGTCACGATATTACTGGTGTCTCGAGACAATGTATTTACTCATGGGTATCGATATACAGAGACAATAGTGACGATTATCGTTATATATCTAGTCACGAGTTTCTAGATATGTGTATCGTGTATCGAGACAATGTATCTGGTCACGGTAACCAACCGAGAGGTTTGAGGTCCGTCAGTTGATGATTTGCCAGTTTTACCCAAACCGTTTTGATAGCAGGATGTCATGAAATATAAAACAAAAGTGTTTATTTGGCACATCCTTCTGCACGGAGTTTAAAACCAATGATCACAATGTTTGCCACCGTGTAATCGACTCACGATGTGCACCAGTCTTCAAAACGTTGTAGGTTTGACTCAAATTAACAAATCAAATAAGGCGGAACGCAACAAGTGTCTATTTTCTGTCTATATACCAATTACATGGTGACAGTGTACGAGGCTATTACAGGCAGGGAAATGGTAATTAAATAGCGCGAAGCGAAATGTTTTTCGTCAGAATGAGTTTGAAATGAGGCCAGAGCAATATCGAATTACCTCCTTCACTGGTGTGGGTTGTTTTGTTCAATATGCCAACACACTGGAGCCAAAGGTTCAACAAGCAACCATATTTCAAGCATCTATTTGAGATGTATTTCCGACAGTACTTTTTAGGTTAAGTAAAATAGTTTGACACAACCACAAAGCGGTATGTTGATTTGCTACTGCAAAATTAGGGAAACTCTGCTTCTTAGTGACGAAAATACAAATTACAGGTAGATCTATGACAGACCTAACATCCGATTTTCCGTTAACAGGTAACAAATGATTTCAATGGAAATGGCAATCCTTCAGCTGGTAGAAGAACTTTTTTCAGTAGATGCATGACAACTTTATATTGACATATTTGGTAGTAATTTAGTAGAATGGGAGACCATTCTGACAAGTGGCGAGTCAGATGTGCCGATAACAAGTTGCAGCACCATTCACGCCTTCTGTTCTACACGACCTGAACGTGCACGACGTACTGTTCTGTACAACCATGAAGGTTTGTAACCTTCACGACATTCTGTTTTTCAAGACCCCAGGGTTTCATCGTCTACGCCACATTTATATGTCCTCTCCTTCATCACCTGCAAGATACTGATGTGTCCTGTCCTGCAAATCTTCTGTGCCCAATATGAGCGTTGGAGTGACCTTCTGAGAAAGGAAAGGCAAGACGCATAATCACCAATCGATGATTTTGCGGAATCAATCAACCAACCAAAGCAACATATGAAAAATAATTGCAACTCACAATCTAGAAAAATGGCGTTCGTTCAACAATATCCGGAGTAATTAAACGTTGCCAATGTACCTTTACCTGTCCAGAAGAAGGAGCATCAAGCATGACAGGTTTAGACTGTAGTAAGATACAGACATGTTGATCCCAGCCACAGACAGACAGACAGACAGCACGCACGCACGCACGCACGCACGCACGCACACACACAAAACCTCCTCAACCTACTTACTGCGCCTCTTGATGAAGGTGTACAGTCTACGGTTGTCCCCCTGGAGAAATTCACACGAGTTGTCGATGTTGATCCTTGACCCCCTGTTGATGACCTTGGGGCTCATGATGTGGGATGACACCCCGGGGGCTATACAGCAGCAAACGAAGTCTTACATCAGATAGAAATACCCACGTTAAGCAGCGCAATCAGCATGCTAGAATACCAAGCTCAACTACATCATGTCAAATCTGGCCAATTTAAACATCACCATGATTTGTTACAGCTTATTCCCAGACGAGTCACTAAGCCGCTATATTTTAGTCACACGTGCCGTTCATTGTTATGCGGTTTTCCGGGACATGTTGAGGAGCTTGATTTCCCAAAGGTTCCATAAAATTTAAAATCAATGCTGAGACATAAATTACCCTTTAATTCTTGTGGAGAAGAAAATGTCAGCACCATTTTCAAAATATCACCAGATATTAGCCATACACGGCATTGTTCTTCAGGTATTATTTTGTAATGCAAAAACATTATATATAAAACTAAAATATTCATGAAAAGATTTTCGATTTTCATGGGTGTTTTTGTTACACGAGATAAAAACATCATCATTGCGAGTTCTTCAACATCTATAAGATACACTGGGGAACTACTAAAATTCATTCGTTTTATCGGCGTTATTTCACAATAACAGAGGCAATGATTACATCTCCCGGGGCTATTTTCTGGTTTACCCGGCTTCATATTGACCGAGGTGGCGTGGATCCCTACTTACTCACTCACCCTCTGGGGAATTGTGGAATTAAAATTGTTATAACCGACAGCTTGTCTGTGAACCGTCTGAGAACTGACTAACAGCGTCAACGCTCGCCGACGGCGTTGGTCGGGTGTCATGATATTGACCACTAGATTGCCCGAACCAGACTCATACGTCGCCGGGATATACTGGTATTATACTGATATTATACTGCATAAAACAACATGCACTCACCCACTCAATAAATATGCCCCGAAAGGTGATTGTAATGGTCTCTGTGTTTTAAGTGAGTGAGTGAGTTTAGCTTTACGCCGGGTACGTCAATAGTCCAGCTATATGGTAGTGTTCTGTAAATAATCGAGTCTGGACCAGACAATCCAGTGATCAACAGCATGAGCATCGATCAACGCAATTGGGATACGATGACATGTGTCAACCAAGTCAGCGAGCCTCACGACCCGATCCCGTTAGTCGCCTCTTACGACATGTATGAGTTGCTGAAGATCAATTCTAACCCGGATCTTCTTTGTGTTTTGAAAGCCAAAGTCTACACTGCAGGCTCCAATACACCCCAATACAGGCATCTCTGTTACACAGTTCATCACAGAAAAATGACATGGACGGTTTTACTGAATCTGATTGGCATAACAATACGTCGACGTATACTGGAAACTGGGGTTTAACGTACTACTTAAGAATATTTCGCTCATATGACGTCGTGCATCTCTGTTACACAGTACATCACAGAAAAATGACATGGACGGTTTTACTGAATCTGATTGGCATAACAATACGTCGACGTATACTGGAAACTGGGGTTTAACGTACTACTTAAGAATATTTCGCTCATATGACGTCGTGCATGCGTGTGTATGAGTGGCTGCTTGTACTAGCCCAGGCTTAAGCTGGTTTTATAGTGCTAGCCCACTGAGATACCATGCCGCAGTTAAGCATAGATACCCCACTCAGACATTATACTGACTCCCAGCCGACCAGTCCTTGTTGTACCCATTAATGACGTACGCCAGGCAGGGACCAACAAGTACCATATTTTAACGTATTTTGGTATGACCGAACCCGTCACCTTCCGCTCTCCGGGCGGACGCTCTAACCACTGCACCACGGAGGCGGTCTAGTTGTCTCTGAAGGAATGAGTTCAGCTGAAGACATTTCACCATGGATACTGAATATAATGGTGCGGCTAAGTGTTATTTCAGTTGACACCATTATAAGAAGTGTGATTTTAATTTCATTTCATTTCTAAGGTGCTTTGACATTTATTTGCAGCGAACACGTCCTTGGTCTTACAGTTCACGCCTTAGTTAAGTTTCTTAAGTAGTCGACATTTCGGGGGGTTTCAGCATACGCGTAAGCCGAACTTCAGCTTACATTAATATCTAGTTTCCCATAAGCCCCTGTTTTAATCAGTAGCTGTTAGTTGTATGCTCAACTTTGTGATAACGCTGTGATAGAATGCATAACCAGGAATTGTTAAACTGGAAACGTTCGCGAGGCCAAGCTGCAAGTAAGTGTACACGAACATTTAATTTGGACAGTGAAAACTTAAACACTTTGCGTAAGAGTAACGAGTACAAATTTCATGGCACAAAAATAAATCCGTATCTTAATGTGTGGTTTTCGGCTAATGTAAAGTAATCGTTGAGTGCAGAGGCCCGAGGAAGACATCGCTAGGATTATATGTCTAAGTCTTGAACAAACCACGGCCTAAAGTGCCGCTTGCCGATCGAAGTGTCAGAAAAAAATACATAGGATCTGTTGAAAAAAGTAGATACAGAGCCAAATCAATTACAAAAAACACTGCTTTGGAAAATTAAATGTTCCCCTCTGCCCTTAGTTCCTGTCTGGGGTGTTGCATAGCAAATTTGACCTGAATGTAGACATTTAAACCTAGAATAACCCCCCAGATATATTGTGAGGTGAGATGTCAACGTCGTGTAAAAGAATATAGAACTTATCATACAGCGTGTGCGCGTGTGTATGTTTGTGTGAGTGAGTTGCTACTTGTGTTTGTTCCAACTAATATGTGTTTTATTAGTTCTAGTCCTCTGAGATATCATGTCGCAGTTGAACATGGGTATCCCACTCAGACATAATATACTGACAACGAGCTGACCCGTCCTAGTTTTATCCCTTTAATGCCTAGCTCCAACCAGGGTAACAAAAAGTACCATCTTTTGACGCGATATGCACGTATGTCCTTGTCTTGTTCCATGAGTGAGTGAGTGAGTGAGTTTAGGTTTACGACGCACTCAGCAATATTCCAGAGATATGGCGGCGGTCTGTAAATAATCGAGTCTGGACCAGACAATCCAGTGATCAACAGCATGAGCATCGATCTTCGCAATTGGGAACCGATGACATGTGTGAACCAAGTCAGCGAGCCTGACCACCCGATCCCGTTAGTCGCCTCTTACGACAAGCATGGGCTACTGAAGGTCCATTCTAACCCGGATCTTCACGAGTATCTTGTTCCATGAAACAAACAGTTGACATAAAATGGAATCGCGTTAATTCGCGCTTGGGCTATCGCAACACCGTTCAAGTTATCACCAGTTCGAAATAAGCGGAGTACTGTAACAAGAGAGCCCATTAGGGTCTGAGTGAATGTATTTTACGCCGCACTAAAACTTTTAGTTATAACAGAAAACTACCTTTACACCGACCACGCTCATAACGAAGCGTTTCTTGTTGCAGACAAACTGGTGTTCCTTTGAGTTCGATATAACCGTAGTTCATATTTTTGAAATGTGTTCTAGTTATATCACAATGTGTTAGTTCGATGTATGAGCACAGCTGGAAGTGAATCTGATCTCAAACGATCTCTTAGCTGGTGAAACCCACGTGCAGAGGCTTCGAGAAAACACGTGACTGAGGGAGACAAATGTGTCTGTTTATATGTCTTTGATTCGAATGAGTCATTTAAATATGCAATAGTTCAATCTGTTATTGTTAGTGGGAGAAACAAAGGAAGTTTATAAAACTGCTGAATCAATATCCCATGCTGAATCAATATCCCATGCTGAATCAATATCCCATGCTGAATCAATATCCCATGCTGAATCAATATCCCATGCTGAATCAATATCCCATGCTGAATCAATATCCCATGCTGAATCAATATCCCATGCTGAATCAATATCCCAGCCATACTTTGCATGGTTGTGAGGAATCATTTGGCGCTAAGACTGAATGCTTTAACTACAAGGCTATCTAACAGACCCTTTGTAAAGAACTAAACATTAGCAAATGATTATTAAGTATTTCGCCTTTTTACACGAAGAGCCTCAGCGATATGAAGAATCGTAATGGATCTCCCAACAAAACCTCATGTTTGTGATAGTGCTGTGATACTGATGTTATCAGGTGAGTGAGTGAGTGGGTCGGGTTTAATGCCGCTTTGAACACTGTTGAAACCATATCACAACGTGGCAGTTTCTGTTGAAAGAACGCCTGAAGTGATGCACGTCTCACACGTTTACCAGTTTGATAAAACGCACACACATGGGTATGGCGCCTCCACAGGGGCTTGTAACGCTAATCACTTTGAAGAGAAAGGGAGCTCATTGGCTATAAATAAAATATGTCCAATCAAATCGCTGACTCTTTTCAGTGCGGGGCAGGTTAAGGCCAATGGCGAACGGGCAGGACACATTTCTGTTTGCGATGAATAAATGTACGTAAACTCATTATGACAGTGAGATGTAAGTGTCTCCGAAAGAATGGCGACTAGCGCGCTGACACGTGCCATCAGTTCAACATGTTTTGGTGCATGTCGTTTGGTGCATATACCGTGAAATGAACAAGAAAATGGGCGAGTTACCGCTACAAATTCTGAGCAGGGATTTTGGCTCGGAATCGAGAAATCACGATTTTTCGAGCTTCCAAAGACCCTAGCTCCCAAAGTACTGCTTCGATTTTTGTGCTGTATGTCTCATTTTGTAGGTAAATCTATTGGCTTGAAATGTGTGCATACTTTAAATGGGATAAATACAGTGAGCAATGTTGAATTCGCCCTGAAACGAACTTGTTGTGTTGACCTCGTTACATCGCTTTCCTTCTATATAGTGATAAGACCCCGTTAGTGACAGTACATACCTTGATGGCAGTTTTTAGCGTCAAAAGCCCCTGTGGACGCTGGTAACGCCCCGTGGTTAAAGCATTACCTCGTCGAGGGCAAGGTTTTCTTCCTAACACGGGTACATCGTGTTGAGTCTTATATTGGTGCCCACACCTAGATACTGATGAAATATTGTTAAAAGCAGAATAAAACTCGTCTTGCTGACTAACGCCAACTTACACATGAGTCGGACGAGGCTGAACTCGGCGTTAGGGTGGTCCGCCAGGTAGCTGAATCCGATACACAGGACGCCGTCCTTGCTGGACTCGTACCGGTTCTTCCTGGAGACAGAGAGATACAGTTAGCTATGTGAGCACAAACCTCAGAAACATGCATGGACGAAACCAGTCACCATACCCGTCTTTGGCAACACGTACATAATGTCTGTGACTTGTAAATCACAATTAAAACACTTTTTAAAATATATGTTTTGTTGGGGTTTATTTGGTTTGATTGTGTTTTTGTTTGTTGTTTGTTTGTTTTTGTTGGCTTTTGTTTGTTTGTTTGTTTTGTTTTGTTTTGTTTTGTTGTTTGTTGTTTGTTGTTGTTTTTGTTGTTGTTTTTGGGAAATAATCCCCAACCATCAGGTGTGTGGTTTCTTTTTTACGTCAGTTTAGATAAATAGGCAATATTGTTATAAATACACAATGCTCTTTCAGAGAGTGGTAACATATATATGTGGAAGCCATGGTAACTGAGTGGCTGACTCTGTGTGCTGGCGATTAGTCGCCTGATTCTAAAGGTGTGGGTTAAAATCCCGTGTGGGACTCAACCCAACAAAAGTACTAGAATCTGTACTTTACTGAGAAAGTGTAATCCTAAATATAACATATGTCATGTATATTGTTACCTTAGAATATTTCTTAAAAAATTAATCACGTCTTCAACTAAAAATAATGAGAACTGGACGGCTGAAGATTTGAGAGATTGATTTCGTGACAAAGCAAGTACCCCCGACTTACACTACAAGAAAAACGGGTCCGTGCATGCTTGTATAACGACAGATATCATTACTTCCACTCGGACGCTGACTTGAGCATCACAATTTCCTGATAACACTCGAACCAGAAAAAAACGTGTAATTGTCAAACTAGTTAATTTACGGTCACGAATCTTTTACCATTTTTATCTTTGACCGTTAAGTAAGTGGCTAGAAACTCAATTACACGTTGTCCCCGGCCTCCATACACTCCCGTCTATAACCAGTTCAATAGCACCTTGAAAGCTGTAACCTTCCTGACTTGAGTTAGTAAACTCTGTGTATAACGAACATGGTTATCACAAACTGGCGAATATCACAAAGTGGTTTTAGGTCCCGGCCACTTTCGGATATGACGAAGTGGTTTTAAGTCCCGTCAACTTTCGCATATAACGAAGTGGTTTTAGGTCCCGGTCACTTTCGGATATAACGAAGTGGTTTTAGGTCCCAGCCACTTTCGGATATATCGAAGTGGCTTTAGGTCCCGAGCCACTTTCGGATTAATCGAAGTGGTTTTAGTTCCCGTCCACTTCGGATATCACGAAATGGTTTTAGTTCCCGACCACTTTCGGATATATCCCGGCACCTTGCTGCATAGTCGAAATGCATAAAACGAACTACGCTTATAACGAACCTGGTGCTTCCTTCGAGTTCGTTATAACCGTATTTTACTATAATCTCAACTCACCTTTATCACAGAAGATGCTATGTACACTATATTAACCCATATGTGCCACGTGGATGACCCAGTTGTCAAACACCGTTGTTCGCCAGCATACACTGATTGTGAGTTCGAATCCCACCAACCCTCAGCCTTTTAAACTTGCTGCATGCGGCAATGTGAAAAGTGAAAGGATTGGCATGGGTTTCTTGTTTGGACTGCACCCTAATGTATCATAGAGGGTTTTCCATTTATTGGTATCAGAGGGTTATTTAGTTAAAGGTGTGTTGGTGATAATCGGTACTAAACATTAGAGCTGTGTTAAATGGAGCAATGTCAAAGGTGAAAGGACTGGGCGTCTTGTGGGGACCGCACCCTAATGCAACATAGAGGGTTTTCCATTTATTGGTATCAGAGAGTTGGCCAGTTAAAGGTGTGTTGGTGATAATCGGTACTAAACATCAGAGCTGTGTTAAATGGAACTCTCCCACGCATTTCTGGAGTAGTTCCACAATTAATGATAAAACCTACATCGTACAAGAGGTTAGGCCTGTGCAGCTGCGTTCAAATTCGAATCAAGGATGGATATGTCGAAGAGCATATCAAGTATTCGTTATATCCATCGTTAAAAGTGCAACAATACAAAACAAGAAAAACTACAGAGAGGATTTCTTTTTCAATTATTGATTTACCGAAACGAAATTAACATATCCGGTATACCACTTATTTGTCCAATTTAACGCCTCTTCAGTCAGACCAGTGTACACGGCTGGTACAAAAACAAGGACTGGGATTTGCACGAAAAACGTATCACCATACGTGCTCATGAGATTAGGGCCAAATAATTATTGATCTGTCAAAAAAATTCAATAAGCACAAAACGAAAAATACATTTAGACATACCAGAAACACTATTTCATGTCATTCAGAGTTCAGTGCGGCATTTAACAGGGCTTGGCATCACGTACAGAAGGGTTGGGGAAACAGGAATATTTAAATAAAAGAACAAAATACAATGACACCGAATGTTGAGGATAGTTTACAATGCACCAAAGTGATAATTTGGACGAGAGACCAAAGATATGTAGTTCTCAGATGTTTACCACTTTGAGGAAACCTACGAGCATGGGTGTGGTGCAGACAAACCTCGAAACATAACCAAGACGAACCGGGATTCGAACCTGGTCTCTGGTGTGCCGAGATGACGTAGCTCTGCAGTTTGTTTGTTCCTTGCGCTCAGCTATATTCCAGCCATATGACGGCGGTCTGTAATTAATAGAATCTGGGCCAGACAATCCAATGATCAGCATCATGAGCATCGATCAACGCAATTGGGATGCGATGACATGTGTCGACCAAGTCAGCAAGCCTGACAACCCGTTAGTGGCCTCTTACGACAATCATGGGTTGCTGAAGATCAAGTCTAACCCGGATCTTCACGGGTAAGCTCTGCACAGCAAATGCGGCTCCTTGGGCGACTAGACCACCAGCGTTTAAGATATTTCTAAAGAATACTTGACAAAAGAGGAAGGAGTGTTAATTCCGTTTCTGGCTGAACCTCCTGAAAATGTTCACACGTTTGTATTAACTCGTTACCATGGATACGACGAACACGTGCCAAATCGCCGGATTGACAAGCGCATGTCGATTTCACTGCCAGTTGGAAGATGCACGTGTTTGAAGTCTCTCAAAGTTCAACGTTGATCTGATGGAAAGCACGTCGTTAATGAAACAACAAATATTTATGGAGGAGGGTCGAAGCGCCCCGCTGGTGAGTGTGGACTTACCTCATTAGGTAAATATTTCCTCTGCTCTCCACGCACTTATAACGGATCTTGTGGTTCCTGTCAGCATGGAACTGAACAGCTGATCGACGAATCCGGATAAATGTGTTTCGATTCTGCCCTTGAAAGTACCATTTGTCTCGAAGCCGATGCTTGAACTCACACCTACCAGCTGCACGTGCAGAAACACAAATCCAATGAGTGAGTGAGTTTAGTTTTACGCCGCACTTAGCAATATTCCAGCTATATGGCGGCGGTCTGTAAATAATCTGGACCAGACAATCCAGTTATCAACATCATGAGCATCGATCTATGCAGTTGGGATGCGATGACATGTGCCAACCAAGTCAGCGAGCCTGACCACCCGTTAGCCGCCTCTTACGACAAGCTTGGGTTACTGAATACCAATTCTAACCCGGATCCTCACGGGCTCAAAATGAAAGTATACATGAACATGTGAAAAGTGGATTTGTACAAAAATTTACAAACATTACCAAAAGGTTACTAGGACGAAAAAAGGCACCAAAACACAGCAAAATGAAGGTGGAATACTGTTGAACAAATAAATATACTTAGACGTGACTGGGATGTCTCAATAAACATTATATTCCCTAAACTGCTGGAAACAATAATTTGTTCTTCCCTCATAAAATTATCCAATGTCTCTCCAGACAACGATTAAACGCTTTACGCTTTGAGATAGACGGTCACACAGCTGAATAATTCCACCAGTTTGGTTGCCGTGAAATTTTTTAATGAAGGAAAATTCCGAAAACAGATTCACTGAAAGTAGACCCTTGAAGATCCAGGTTAGAATTGGTCTTCAGTAACCAAGCTTGTCGTAAGAGGCGACTAACGGGATCGGGTGTCAGGCTCGCTGGCTTGTTTGACACATATCATCGTATCCCAATTACGTAGATCGATGCTCATGATGTTGATCACTGGATTGTCTGGTCCAGACTCGATTATTTACAGACCACCGCCATATAGCTGGAATATTGCTGAGCTCGGATTTAAACAACAAACAAACACTGAAAGTAAGGTTACATTTAAACGTGGCTTTATGATTAACGTGGGTTCGAACTCCAGATTCGAACTGTTTATAGTCTGGCACTGACCTCTCTAGGCGATCAGCATCAACCGCATACTGATGGGGTTTGAACGCGCGGTGTGTACAGCTTCCAAATCTTTTTTTTTTTTTTAATAATCAGTAACCAGTCAGAGATGATGACTTTCCTAAAATGTAGACTGACTGACTGACTGAGTTTGGTTTTACGCCGCTTTTAGCAATATTCCAGCAATATCACGGCGGGGGACACCAGAAATGGGCTTCACACATTGTACCCATGTGGGGATTCGGACCCGGGTCTTCGGCGTGACGAGCAAACGCTTTAACCACTAGGCTACCCCACCGCCCCCCTTAAAATGTAGAAACATATAGACGCCTCTAATGATTCAGACAACAAAACTGATGAATTTATCAATTACAGCTATTCTTTGCACGCCTCAATTAATGAAATAAAATTTCAATTCATTTTAAGTGTAGTTATACGCACGGTTCATCAAAGAACGGTTGTGTTCAATGTCCAGCACAAGCTTTTCCCTCAGTATAATGCGTTTCATTCTTGGTGATACATTAAGATTGTAAAGATGAATGTAAATTTAGTTTTCTTGATAAGCAAAGAATCAAATGGGTATTTAAAGAACGATCTACGAAAACTATTTTTTATAGCTTAATGGAGCTTTTATGGTCGCTATCTTACACTTTATATAGCTGAAAGTCTACTTATCGACATACCTCTGTACGAAACTCGATATGTGTTGAAACAGGGTTTCAATTAGCATCGGCAATGGCTTCGAAATAAAAGAATTAAAAAAGACCGGATCAAGCAACTGTCGTTCGGTTTTTCGGTTTTCTCTGAAGTGGTATTGAAATGAGCAAGTGCTTTCATTTTGATTTATCTCCGAATGTTAGCAAAGAAATGTCGAAAAGGGACTAGTGATAGATACGTCTAGTGCTATTAGGTAAACCTGCCTTGAAGTATAATAACAGGCGTCCGTCAACGGAACTCTGAATTCTTCATCATCCTGAAATATGTGAAAACAATTATCTTGTTGTATGGGAAGGCTCTGTGCCAGGTTGGGTTGACCTTCATTACTAGACACCCAACGAGGCAACAGCAGAACCTATTTTATCTCCGCAGCCTATTGTGGGGAGGGTATGCGTGTTTAAGCACGTACGCGTTAAGATCAAGCTGTTTAACAATTACTTTAAAACGAATTTATTCTGATTTGATGATTTTTCATGTAATTTATTACTGTTTTATTTTAAACGTTATCTTTTGACAATTATTTGGCAAGAAATACGCGAAGATATGTCACCGTTATCTTCACCACTACCTTCCTGGTAATGTATTAAGGGAAGCTGACGATGTATTTGTCAGTAGCGGTACTTTTCCTGCAGCTTTGTGTGATGAGTGCTATACTAGTACACAAGTACTCTAATTGATAATACGCGGAAAAGACACTGTAGGCACGTATCTGATCAAACGTTACTTTGCTGTAGCCACGTGTCTGATCAAACGTTCCTTTGGTTTACCTTAGACACGTGTCTGATCAAACGTTCCTTTGCTTCACCGTAGACACGTGTCTGATCAAACGTTACTTTGCTTCACTGTGGCCTCGCATCTGATCAAACGTTACTTTGCTTCACTGTAGCCACGTGTTTGATCATACGTTCCTTTGATTCACTGTAGCCACGTGTCTGATCAAACGTTCCTTTGCTTCACTGTGGCAACGTGTTTGATCAAACGTTACTTTGCTTCACTGTGGCCTCGCATCTGATCAAACGTTACTTTGCTTCACTGTGGCTACGTGTTTGATCAAACGTTACTTTGCTTCACTGTGGCCTCGCGTCTGATCAAACGTTCCTTTGCTTCACTGTGGCTACGTGTCTGATCAAACGTTACTTTGCTTCACTGTAGCCACGTGTTTGATCAAACGTTCCTTTGCTTCACTGTGGCTACGTGTCTGATCAAACGTTACTTTGCTTCACTGTAGCCACGTGTTTGATCAAACGTTACTTTGCTTCACTGTGGCCTCGTGTCTGATCAAACGTTCCTTTGCTTCACTGTGGCTACGTGTTTGATCAAACGTTCCTTTGCTTCACTGTAGCCACGTGTCTGATCAAACGTTCCTTTGCTTCACTGTAGCCACGTGTCTGATCAAACGTTCCTTTGCTTCACTGTAGCCACGTGTCTGATCAAACGTTCCTTTGCTTCACAGGTCCTAAAGAGGTCATAAATGCTTTGATTTGTCACGCTGAAGACCCTGGTTCGATTCCTCGAATGGTACAAAGTGCACACATCATAGCTGACGCCCCTACGGCGTACAACTTTACTCACCTAACACAAAATTTCTGTTCTTCCTTTATACATTCAAATTGCGCTTTCTCAAACAAACGATGTACATTCCGGATGTGACTAAGAGGGACAATACGTATAATCAGCTACAGCAAGCCGTACTCTTATTCCAGCGGAATATATTGAATGCCATTGCAGTATTGTGAATAACGAACTTTGAACAAATGGTGGCCTCTTGTAAATCCCTACAGACGAATCTAATCTGATGGATATGTACCTCATAGCCTACGGGCGTAATTGTTATTAAATCTGAGATGAAACCTTTATAAGCTGGCTGAGTTGTGACATACGTTGTACCGGATGTTTGTTGGTTAACGCTGCAATATGCCAGCGACCTGACGGCGGTCTGTAAATAATCCAGTCTGGACAATCAAGTGATTGACACCATGAGCATTGATCCCAGCAACTGGGATACTATAACATGCAATCAATCAATCAATCAATCATTTCGTCGCCTCATGCATGGAACACTGGGGTCATGTATATTTTTTTCACCCGGACGCCCAAACGGGGTGTATCAGATGGAGATACAGCATTCATTACATGATGGCCCAGCAGATAATCATGTTTATCATCTAATGGAGGGTGTTATCGGTGCAATAAAGCAATCTGATAAACTTGGTGTCCAAATCTGATAACTATGCAAATTACGTCAATCCACGAACTACTTTCACAAAACTCCATACACGCCATGCGAATCCTACAACGTTTAACATTACATTGATGACGTCGTCGCGAGTTTACATTGTTTGTAAACAAACATGGCTACCCCCATTCTCAAAATTGGTGATTCTGTAAGAATTGATGACAGTGGTTCAGGAGTCGTTAATGCAGTAGTTAAATTTGGAAAACATGAAACGGAGTACTCCGTTCACATTGAAGGTACGGGTTATGAGGCACGACTGAAAGGCAATCGTCTAAGAAAGGTACCAACCAAGGATTTCGATCTAATCATTAGATCGAAATCATTGCGGGTAATCACCACATCAATATCAGTTTCTGATACCTGACGGAAACGATTCGTCGTCTGTATTGTGATCATTAGTTTCTGATACCAGTAAGTGTACCGTCAGGTATCAGAAACTGATATTGATGTGGTGATTACCCGCAATGAAAATAGAAACAAAGCTAAGAAAACCGTGCCCGATTTTGTTGTTCTTTTTAAGACAGAAAGATCTTATTTTAAGCATGAGTTATGTTTGCACTGTATTAGCGACTAGTCACAACCATATGCCGCCGTCATGAACGACCTTCACCTTGGTGTACCGCTAAGTATTCTTACGCGAGTGCTCGATTCTCTTCCAATAAATTCACGTACGAGTTCTTTTTTTAGAATAATTTAAGAATGACATTATATGATAAAGAGATTATTAACCTCGTGTGTTTCCGTATCATGAATATCATATATTTGAAATAAAAATAATGCATAATACAATTTTTATTCCTAATATATGATATTAATGATGCGGAAACAAACTCGGTTAATAATCTCTATATATGATTGATGGTAATGAGAATATAAACTGAAGCGTAGCCACAATTGTAAGTTAGAAGTGGATCATCAATACGTTATCATCAATAATATATCCAACTTACCACTTAAGTACCAGCTGAAAAATGTTTTCAGAATGTAACCACGTAACAGACATGTTAAGATCTTAATGGGTATAGGAATGTGTTTCAATCCTCTACAGAATACCCATTTGGGTGTGGTCTATCTCGACACGTATAGGGGCCAACACACTTCATAAGCTATCGTCTCAACACCACCTAAACTCAACATCCCCATAATCTAAACATGTTTAAATTCTAAAAAGTTTATATCAAAATTATCATCATCATCATCATCATCATCATCATCATCATCATCATCATCATCATCATTACCGTCAAAATAAGAATCCTTAATATATCAAAGCTTTTTCAACTATAGCTGTTTCGTATCTGACATGTGTGAAGCCATTTCTGGTGTCCCCCGCCGTTTTATTGCTGGAATATTGCTAAAAGCGGCGTAAAACTATACTCACCCACTCGTATCTGACAAGAATATCAGATGTGATATAACATTCCAATAATTTAAACATGTTTAAATTCTAAAAGTGTTCATCATCATGATCATCACCATCACCAAAATAAGAATACTCAATTTCTTTTACTCAAACTTTTTCAACCATAGCTGTTTCTTATCTGACAAGAATATCAGAAGTGATATTACGGAATGGCATTTCGCCATGATTTTCATCTCCTAGGAATTATTGAAAAAAGTACAAAATCGTAAATTACAAACCTGTTTGTGAAATGATGAATAATATAAGGCACGTACACACGCTCAGTGATGTCTGCATAATCTGAAACATCACAACACATCAAGAGTTAGTGTGTATCGAAACGGATCTGCCACAGTCACTCAAACACCTCACATCTGAGGCCTTTCAGCACAAACTGCCGGAAACTATTCATCTCAATAATGGAGGTTTAAGAATAAGCCGCACATCGATAATAAGAGTGTCGCAAAAAATGATCAAAAATATGGATTAAAAGTGGAAAGTTTTCTATTAATATTTCTTTGATTTTAGTAATGAAAGGAAACGTATTAAGATCGTATACTCGTGGGAAGTTGAGAGATAAAATGTCGGAATAGTGATGCTGAAGGAACATTCCGAGATCAAGAGACAATACGTGTTGCCTGCGTCAGAAATTCTGTCCATTCCTTGCTCTTCAGGGAGGTGGGCGAAGTGCGATATCAATTAAAGCAACTCAAACGGTCATTTTCTTTAGCATTGATTGCATTGTGAAGGACGTACATGGACAATAACCTTTTGTTCTTCGACTGGTGAATGTCTGTCGGGCAGAGATGTGAAACCGTTGTTACAACTACAGCTGACGTTAGACATGTATGTATACAAGAAGTACTAAGTCTGGTGGTCAGTTCCAGGTTATTCATAATAGCAGTATTTTCACTACATAGTGCATCATTGAGATCTGTAACTTGTGAGCCAGCAATTCTACTGTTTGTTGGTATGTTGTATTCAAGAATGAATATTATTTTATGCCGCAATTTTCCAGCTTTTCGTTGCGTTTTGTTTTCATGCAGGTGGTAGGGTGGCATAATGGTTAAAGCGTTCGCTTGACAAACTGACGACCAGAGTTCGATCCCCATACAAGTACAATAAAAATGTGTTCCTATGTGACATTGCTGGAATACTGCGGACCTTTAACCCACCCACTCACCCACTCGTATCACTATGTAATGTCACAAAGTATCTAACAAGACTGGCTAAGTTAGGTTACTGAGACCACGTGCTTGATTATCTGAAGGGAGGAGGTGCTGAGGGGGGGGGGGGGGGGTGGTGGTGTTTTTTACCAAGTATACATGTTTTTCAGTATGGATAAACAAATCTGATTCCAAATTTGTCCCTTCAACGTCTTACATTTACATATCACGTGCAGGCGTATTCACAAACGATATAGTAACAAGAATATAATCAATGTGAAATTATGCTCAACGAAAACCATTTCTCAAAACCACCATGGAACCATTAAGCCCTATGATATTAGCAAGAAACGGAACCGCAGTATGTCCGCGCCTGACAGCAGACAATTTCACTGTCGCGAACCATAACTAGCACCACTCCGTGCCCTATAACTAAATATGTTTTTACGATAATGACATTTCATGGAATCGTACCGTATATGGTTCAGCGTTTCCCGTGCGAGGTACTTTTTCTGAAATATCTCCTATATAAACAAGCTAAACTTTACCAATGACACTGACAAACATGTTTGATATCACACTGATGAATATAGACGATGACATTCAAACCTGACAGCGAAACATTATATTTATCATTACACTCAAGGCCACAATATGAAATTCAAAACTTTATTTATAGTTTGTACGAATGAAAGATGAATTGAGTTTTCATTTTAAAAATTATTGAATTGTGTTGATAATAAACAAGTGTTATTTGCAGGTATATTTCTAGGAGTAATATTACCTACCATTGTGAATGAATCCTTGGAAGTGTCTTCAACATCCCATCACTGACTCTAACACAGAAAACATGGTGTTTCTATCGATAACTGGAATTCCTTCTACAAGCCAGGGCATTATAGAATCACTTCCGCACATCCCAAGTTCTGGCAGAGAATGGCCAATTATAGCACTGGAAGCTAATTACTTCCCCTGCTTATAAGGGACTTTCACTATCTAATCAGCATGTTCAATCCATCGTGCTCGGATCCGAGAAATGAACGGATTGCCCTACAGAAAAACACACAGCGCTTAACTATCGGCACTCTGAGACACAGCCCGGCCGAGATTCACCGAGGTCCTCTGAATGCACTTTGCCGGCTTCCATGCTCAACAAGTGAAGAGGGGTCTTAATATGAGAGGCTCTATCATTATGGTAATTGAGTCAATTACATCTTCGACCCCTTCTGACCTTGTCGATTGCGTTTCTGGTTTAGCTATTCACAGCTGAATAATACTCTCTGAAATGAAAGAGATCTTACTGAGGAGATCGGAGATTAAAAGTGGGCGATTGTGAAGAGATTCCAATGCTCCGAAGTAATGTTTAGAAGACAAAGGATCGTAAATTAGCAAGTAAGACGAACATGTTTGTCGATTACGTGATGCAAGCAGCGAGAGGCAGGAATCGCTCAGCAGCCGAGACAACACTTCTTCGTCAACGTTTTAAAGCATTTAGAAGATTCTTGTCTTTTTAAGAAGCGTTTACGTCCCTTTTAATGACATAAGAGTATATAACGGTGAATGATTCGTGTCCGGGGTATTCAGGTCACCAGTTGACAGTCGGAAGATCAGCGGAGATATTCTTCTTTCCTCAATCAATGCTTCTGTAAAGGAAATGTACGAGTCCCTTGCACTGGAGTTATCAACAGAGATTTTATCATTCGCTTCAATATTGCTCTTTAAACATGTTGCCATTGTAGTGTGCATGTACAATCAGAGAGACGAATTGATCTGGTTTTCAACAAAAACACCGCGGAAAAATCCGGAAACAAATTCCGAACAAAGGCGCCATTTCTATCGTGGAAAGTGTTTCTTTACTCAGTGTAAAAAGAGCAATGATGTCTAATTTTGGGTATTTTGATATTGAAATAACATATTCGTTTTTTCTTATTCACTGCGTATAATGACCCGTTTTGTCAGCCTCTCATCTATGGAAGATGGAGGATGGGTTTGAAAGAGGGGCGACAGCATGTCACGTTTTATCTTGTAATCTACAGGGATTGAAAATTGAAAAGACTGCCGTTTTTGTCAGATTTCAGATGCAATGCTTTTTAAAGAGGAGCCGTTACGAATCGAAGGAAGCGCCCATACAATCTTCACGCAATTAACCCAGTTTCGATGTAGCAGCTGAGCTCGTGGCTCATCCCCAGAAAATAATAAAACTGAAAGAAACTGTACTCCATAATAACAGAATTTACTGAGATAGGGCGACACGAGAGTATACTCAAACTTGCATCTATTTTACGCGTGGCAAAGAATTCTTCCACGTGCCCCTTGTCGAATGTGGCATTCCAGGATTTACTAGAATCCTAGTCTATCATAACTCTACGGGGAACTGACATCGGTGAGTTGGGTTCAGAATGGGTTGTGTGGTAGTAATGACATGGAATATAACGACAGCATGACCTTAGTGATACTGGACACTGACCACTTTGGTAAAGCTGTGAGTACTTCGGAGTTGTTGTCAGATTATGTCGAGTCTGACACTAACAGCAGATCTTGGCAAGGCTAAAAGACACAACTCTGTATCTGTATATAGCAATTCTCTCTCTCTCTCTCTCTCTCTCTCTCTCTCTCTCTCTCTCTCTCTCTCTCTCTCACACACACACACACACGCGCGCGAGCGCACACACATGTGACACATGTGATACTGGCAGATCCTGGCAGGGCTCAAGGACGCAACTCTGTAAAGCAATTTGTCTCTTTCTCTCTCGTTTAACGGTATGATCTTGACATTGTGTGCATGGCGTTCAACTGGATGTCGACATGGCTGTATCGCCTCAATCCCCTGCATCATGTCGGTCCATTTATTCACTTTGAGAGAAATATATCTCGATCTGTATGCGTTCCAACTTTCCGATGACAGGATCATGCGCGTTTAGGGGGAAGGATATTTTCTAACTGGGCGTAAAAATATCTCCGACATCTCAGATTGCGAGGTCCCAGGTGGCGTGTTGAAGATATCGGGATTATTTCTTAGCCGATATATTGAACATTCCCTTGCTATCCTTTTGGAATCGATGCCAGTTTATACCGGACTTGTCAGAAGACATCACTGTCCTCGTATTGTTATCTCCCTTTAATGAGCACGTTTATGGTTTTGAGATTGATTTTTCTTCTTGTCGATACCATTCATATTCATAATCGATTGGTCTGACTCTTCCGGATTCGATGGGGGCCTTAGCAAAAGAAAGAAAGGCTTAGGATCTTAGGGCCGCAGTAAATCTTACTCAAAAGTAACCAAGAATTCGTTTTTAAGGATAACGTATAGCACTGTACGTTAACCTTTGTCATTGCCAGAATATCTCTTTTCTCAGTTTCTTTCTCCGCTGAATAAAGACGCTAAACCAAGTGATAGCCCTGCCCTAGACAAACTAAATATTGTTTTTCAAAACTATATCTACAGAATGTATAATAAAGTCCAAGTTGAGTTCACACCAATGCTCAGTGCTGAGACAATCTACACTTGCCAAATCATTGTCTGGGTCTGGGCGAGAGACCAGCCAACACACGTGATTCTCTGTACCATACAACTAAGGTGGTGGAGTGGGTGAAGCCCATCTCATAGTGGTTAAAGCATCACGGTCAATATACGGGTTTGATGCTTGATTCCAGTTCCTTTGACAGACAAAATGATTTTGATCATGCAAACGACACGTTTACTAACTTACTTACTTTAATTGTTGGAGTTTTGCCATTGTGGGTGTGCGTGTTTTCAGGAGGGGAGAGGGGTCTATGACACACAATATGTGTAAAGTTTATATGGATCGTCATTTGGGGCCCAATACACCTGTACCCTAAAATCAGATGGAAATATTTGTACATATGTGTAAGTATACTGTTTGTCATCCGATTGGGATTGATCAGTTATTTACATGAGGTGAGTGAATCAAAGAATATTTTCACTGATGCAACTTTACTGTGTATTTTATTTGACGACTGGAATGTGACAGAGGACAACACTCAACTGAGTGTTTGTGTTTGTCCTGCAAGTAGAGCACTACAGTACACCCTTCTTTGTCCTTACGGATATTTTCACACTATTCATTGTCATTATGTCAGCTTAGATCAGGGTTAGAATTGGTCTACAGCAACCCGTGCTTGTCGTTAAAGGCGGCTAATGGGATTGGGTGATCAGGCTCGCTAACTTGGTTGACACATGTCATGGTATCCCAATTGTGTAGATCGATGCTCATTTTGGCACCAACCAACATTACCCTAGCTATAAAATAACCCCTTTACCCTCCCCCGCCAACAACCCTATCCCCACCCGAAAAAGAAAACCACTAACCGTCACTGGCGTAGGAGGTAACTGATATAGATCTCGCCGTGTTTTAACGTCTAACGAACAGTGAAAGTATAAATGGTTTCCTCCTCGGTCAATTAGTTATGTACCCTGACTGTACCAGGAGCCGCTCATCACGGGTTCTAATCCCTGATTATTCCACATCCGTGGTGATTGGTTTCCCCATGTAATAAGCGTCTCGACCTTCTTCTCGGGGCTTGTCTCGTCCCGGTTATATAAGTGGCCCCTTGGGGATTAGGGGTTAGAATGGGTCCCCAGCAACCTGTGACAAGTAAGACGAGACTGGGTGGGGGCCGATGGTCGGGTACACAGAGACCTTGTAGTGGGAGACTATTGTATGGTATCTAGGTTCACAGGATCCGTCCTGACTTAAATATTTCGAGATCAATACATATAACAAATATCAGAAATGCATAATCCAGTCATTTATATCACGAATGTCAAAAATGCTATGCACAGAGAGAGAGAGAGAGAGAGAGAGAGAGAGAGAGAGAGAGTACAGAGAGAGAGATGATACATAGTTTCAAGTCTATTTAATTCTCGGACATGCTAAACCCTCAGGATCCTTTTCAGTATTATGATATATTTGAACTTTTTCAGTAAAATATCATATTTCATTGACCATATTATTTTAACGGCCACACAAAGGTCTGTGGTCGGGTTCGGTGACTCATTGGTATAGCGTGCCAGTGCACCCTGACGCTGTGGACGGAGCACACCTGTTGCATCAACGTGGAGAGGATGCAGTATCATCCATCAGCAACTATTCCCTCAGCAGCCCAGCATTCATTCACCTGAAGAAGGACTGACCATATACTCCGTAACGTGTTCCTCGTGGCGTTCGGCAGGCCGTAGCAAGCCAGTTTTTTCGTGTAAGCCCGATAGGTGGCAAAGCTTTATATTTAAATAGTATTGAGGACTTGCCCAACCTTTTTTAGCAACCATTAAATGGCAGCCCGGGCTTTTTTGCCATAATGGTAGCTACACCCCTGTTCGATAAGCTCACTCACAGTGAGAGATACTAGCATACAAAATACAAACCGATATATTTTTAACCCTGACATTGTGAAGCCTATTGGCTCAGAGGTGTCAACTTCTGCATGTCTGACAGTCACAGGGAAGAGTATAAAAGTAGAAACATCAAATTGGAAACAGCTTTGTGTGTACGCTTCACGATGGTCACCTCCGCTGTTGTTGAGAACTAGCCTTCTAGCACGTCTCGCAGACGTATTGGCTAGGCTGAATTCCTTTAACACAATCGTTAAGCAAAAGTGTAAATATTGGTTCGAGTTTGCCGTGCGTGATCCCAATATTTGACTCAGATTTGGTGATGTTAGGGCGCCAGGGCCCCCAATTAGTAGGGAATAACGTCTTGGACTGACCGTGTAGGTGGGTCGTATGTTTCCCCAAATTGTTGGCTTAGAAATGTATTCCTACTAATGACAGCGACCTGTATATAAGTGAGTCTGGATCAGACAACCCGATGATTGACACAGTAAGCAACGTGTCCACGTAAATGAGATATGATGACGTGTGGTGAAGCAGGTTTCAAAGACTGACCATCCGATCCATTTGGTCACCTCTTACGACTAGCATATCCTGCTTCCTTTGTCTCCACGCTAACCAAGGAGTCGAACCCGGGTGCGAGACATGCGAACGCTTTAACCACTTGGCTACCATTTGTTGAGCGATGTAAATGAGACAGATCAAATACCACGTGAATCTCGATTTAGGGCGTTCAGTGCATATTCTGTATATGAGTGTTTCGCGTTTGTGGTGAAGGTTCATCATTGGATGTAAGGGATCGAAACTGGACCAGCAACGAGTGGTCAAGAGTGTGAGCACGATTCACGTTGTCCTGCACTGTTTGAACAAATATTGAAACTGAGTGAGTGAGTGAGTGAGTGAGAATGATCGCCGTCTTAGCAGTATCACACGTTTAGATATCTTAAAAAATCATATATTGCTCCTATTATGATAACCAACAATACATGAATACTCATACCAATAACGGTTGTCGCCCCCCCTTCCCACCCCAACCCCTCAAACCTCACACACCCACCCCCTCGCCAATTAAAAAAATTGAAGGGGGTGACAACCATTATTGGCATGATTATATTACTCTGGTTGCAAATCAGCAACAATGTGAATCGTTCGTGTCACAGAACAGTTAGTTTTGATTAAAGGTAACTAACTACATACATATAAAAAAGTCACTCCAAGAAGAGCATGCCAGCATGACGGGATAAATGTCGGTGGTGTTGTCAAGCTCCATGACTTGGCTGATTCCGTGTTGACTCTGGATTTCCCCAAGTCAAAAAGCGGGACGTTTCTCATGCTTCAGCGGGTTTGCCTGGATACTGCTCGAATATTGACAAGCAGCTATACTGTAGATACCATAGGTCTTGATGCGCCGTTACACAACATTCAGTCGATCACCATGCAGTTGTAATAGTAGCTTGTAATGTAAATAGGTTAAAGAATCGGATCTACATTAGGTAGAAATGGTATGTTGTATTACCCTTTAGCACTGACTAAAAAGTTCATTACGCAAGAATTAATGTGAAGCATTGACGATGTTGGCGTACGTCATTGCACAAAATTAATCTAATCTGAGACTTCATAAAATATACGTATCAGAACAGACAATTTGTAAGTTCTGTTGTCAGGTAAAAACTCCTTTTTTAAAACATTAATCCTGCTTGTTTTTATTTTAAAAGTTTTGAAATATTTTTTTCAGTTTCTTCCACGTAAGGAGAATCGAGAATTGGTATGTTCTAATCACACACCCAAATAACTATATTAACTATTATGATTTATAGAAAGATCGTTCAATTTGAAAAATAAATGATACCCACTGGTGTTGAAATCATTTCTTTTTTCAAATTTCAAATTTGTTTTAACGGTATGCGGGTTATACCGGTATTCTTTGACTGACTTCCCCTGGATACTCCACCTGTCCGAGAGGGGGCGCTGCTTTGTGATGGGCAAAAGATGAAGCGGACACTTGTTGATAGAAGTCACACCTGAGTCTCAAAACGGACAGGGAATATTTGTGTTTGTGTTATCAACACTACAAGAGTCTTTGGGAGGTAAATACACAAAAACTGGGTCTCATCACCAAACTAATGTCGATTTTTACGCGTGTGTTTGCGATGTTTATGTTAAGCCTGACACACCTGTGTTCAACTTTTGTTTGAAACCCAGCATGTGTAAATGTTTTGAAATACTGTCGCGTGGTTAAAGCGATCATTGCAGGTGTTCATTGATGTACTGATGTCAGCTGTTGTTCTTATGTGAAAATAGAGACACGATGACCACTGTCGTTATCAATAACATGTCAAGGAAGAGAGCAATATTTTATTGTCACATTCGCTTTGTTGACATTTGAGCTTCTGTAAGATTCAAGTGTACTAGTATTATGAATGAATAGTCATCTAATACAATGCCGATTTGTTATAAGAGAATCTTAATGAATAGGTTACTTTTCTGCAGAGGACTTTAAACCAAATAAAATTGAAAATGACATGAATATTAAACACCTCTCTGTAGATCAATTCAATCTCTACTGATGGTAGAATCGAGATGACAAAACTTTATGAATGATCAACTTCTTTATTTTCACAATGGTGACATTTCGGTATAGATTCTTATACCATTTTCAAGCATATGGGGTAATGATGGGGTACACAAGTATATTTTCAAGCTACATGTATGATAATGAGATAACAATAACATGATAATGAGATAACAATAACATGATAATGAGATACAATAACCAAAGGTGAGATAGCAAAGCATCAAAGAAAGTTACATGATGAGCCACGATAACAGGATGATGAACTAAAATAACATAAATGAGATGAGTGGGATAACCATGACAATTAGTGAATGCAAGTTAATTAGGAAGCCTAATGGTAAAATCGGCCAAGTATAGTCAGAGTAACAACTGGTAACAAAGAATTATGAATAAATATGACAAAACCCAAAGTGATTATATTTCATGATGATCAAATACAAAAATTTAAATTTGATATGAGAAAGGTGTGAGAGGATATTAAATCATGTTGTTTCATTGTTTCCACTAGTTGTTATTTTATTACAGTGACCCAATTAACAGTCAAGTATCAATTAGCTCATAAAAAGTTTCTTCAAATAATTATGTTTTATGACCAGTACTAACTCATTCAACTTTCCACAGGGTTAATGATATTAATGTATATCCTGTTTTAGTCACGGTATGGCTGAAATATTGTTTACCGGTATTTACCGGTTCAGACATGAAAACGATATGTATTGCGATACGCTGATCGAAAACCAGTATTTTGACTTGCATTAAAACTTCGTAACACTCGGAAAGCTTCGGATATGTCCTTGTTTCATTTGTGCCAAATATTATTCATATTTTTATTTTATCATGATTAAAAGTTGTTATTAAAGCTTAATCAAGCCTAGTGATTTTGTTGTGTTTTTGCTCTATAAATCAAGAATTAACTCGATTATAAGTAGTTTTTTGTTTAAAAATACTTCATGCAATATATTGCAATACATATCTCAATACATGCTTTCGCATCGCATATCGCAATATGAAAATTCTCTGCAATACCCACCCCTACCATCCACATATTAAGGCCAGGCAAGTGTTGTGTTGTGATAAGGCATTAATTTGACAGCAGTATCTAATCAGGCTGTTCCCCATCACTGCTCCAGCATTGCATTGATACCTGTCAAAAGTCAGTAATCTGTGATATTGAAATGTTACTTGTCAAACATCCCTTGCACATGTGTGACTGATGACATTGAGATCAAAGATTAGGCGATCGGTCACGGTCAAGTTGAGGTACATGCCATTTCAATCAATTTGATATTATATAATCCCTATGTATTACTGCTGTGCCTGTAATTTACACTCCCATCAGCCATTAGCATTAATACTGCTTCATCAGATTGACTTGATGTCCACGAAGGATTGACTGTACATGGCAAGACACTTCATATAAAGGCATGATAAACTGTTTTTCCTTATGCTGTTAGAGGATTTGACAAAATTTGAAAGTATGTGTATTACAATTTACAGATTTCATTGTAAAACAGTGTATTGCAGATTAACACCTGATAAATCAATTCATAAAGTGTCCACCAATGGTTAATGTTTTTAGTTGTATTTGTATTAAAACAATATTTTGGATGAATGTTATTCAAACCTGACAAATTCTACCATTACCCTAATGTCTGTTGCAAAACAATATGGTTTCTGTTAGCACTGCTTACATTAACCAGTTATTTGAGTTAACACACGCTGGTTGATAGCAACAAGCTCTTGTTAGACATAACACATGGAATATGAAGATATTTGTGCAGGTAATAGTTTCAATCAACATATGATATCATATGAGTCAATTACTGCCAGTGCCATGTTTGTTGAGACATGAGATAGGTGGAAGGTGACATCCCTATTTTGTTAGTTCTTGGAGTCAAATTAAATCATTTGTTTTATGTTTGACAATTTGACTTACTGTCTTGATTGAAGTCTTTTGCTTTGTTACTTTTAACAGAATAGGCAGATGAAAACTGGCAAAAGATTTGAGATGTGAAAAATGTGTTGAAAGGACATTTTCATTTGGACAAATATATTGGACAGAATAATGTATATTTGTTGAACCCTGTATTTTGTAAGTTTGACAGTCCTCACATTTTCAGCTGGAGTTACTTCTCATTGTTCAATCACTGTTTCTAGACGCAGTGTTATGACCATCAAGGTGAAACATACATCATGCTGTAAGTGTGTCTGTCGCCATGTTCTTGTTTTTATACTGTTGAGTATATTAATGTAATCATCACATTCTTGTTGTTTACAGATGTGTTGATTCCAAGTAGCAGGGAGGATGTGGAACCCGTCACATGTTCAGTTTACAGGTAAGCTAAAGACACAGATTCTTGGTTACAAACATTTTATGCAGTAATGGAGAATGAAAGTTAAGTCTATTCAATAATGACCACACATCTCATCCCCAAACGTGTCCCTTACAAACAGTGAGTGAATGTTGTTTTGCGTTCAGATGCATTGAAGCAATACTGCAGTGTGTAGGTAGGTAATCAAGGGTGGGCCAGGTAAACCAGTGATTCAGTAACACTGGTGATCCAAGCTTGGAGTGTACTGACACAACGTGAGGTAATGGTTGTTATTATTGACTCAACCCATGGAGATCTGGGTTAGAATTGGTCTTGAACAAGTTGAAGAACCCATGCTTCCAGCAAGAGCCGACTAACAGCATTAGGTGGTCATGTTCATTGAGTGGATCACGATTAATCCAAACTGTTTAGTTTGCTCACGATGTTGAACACTGGATTGTCTTGTTTGGTAGATCACGATTAATCCAAACTGTTTAGTTTGCTCACGATGTTGAAGACTGGATTGTCTTGTTTGGTAGATCACGATTAATCCAAACTGTTTAGTTTGCTCACGATGTTGAAGACTGGATTGTCTTGTTTGGTAGATCACGATTAATCCAAACTGTTTAGTTTGCTCACGATGTTGAAGACTGGATTGTCTTGTTTGGTAGATCACGATTAATCCAAACTGTTTAGTTTGCTCACGATGTTGAAGACTGGATTGTCTTGTTTGGTAGATCACGATTAATCCAAACTGTTTAGTTTGCTCATGATGTTGAACACTGGATTGTCTTGTCTAGATTCCATTATTTACATACCGCTGTCATAAAGCTGGATTATATTTGAGTGAGATATTAAACAACAAAGTAAATGACTCTAACAACCAGTTTGGAAACTTGATCTATTTCACCCCATAATCCCCAGAGGGTATTAACAAACTGGTCTGTTCTCATGCTAGACATTTTTCAAATAATCGTGATGAAGGTGAACAACTTGTTGAATTAATGAACCTAGTTTAGTGCCCGGGGCAATAATTAGACTGACTACAGTATGGAAGTGTTGTACAGGGTTTGACCTCATATCGCCTACACCACTATTTCGCCTACAGCTTATATAAACATCCTGTCAAATCCCATCTACCCTGTTCAGGGAATGGAATGGCCCTATTCCACTGTAGTTTCATCGAATGCAACTAAATGGGAGAGAAGACTATTGAGAAGTTACTATTGGGGTTATGCTTACCCCTGGGTGAGATAATCCCATTGTTTTGATTAGAATTAATACTTCAAAAGATTTATCTTATAAAAGTAAAAAGATTATAATTAGGTCTGTTGTGGTTGCAATGAGGGGTCATCTCAACATAATTTTCTCAAAGTATATATACATGCCACTGATCTTTAGTCGGTATCAAAATGGCAAATCTCCAGAGAGCTGAGTTAAGTGACTTCACAGAGGTGGACAGCAGTTACTGTATGCAGGCTACGGTACAGGCTCAATGTCAGCGACAGGTTGCTACACACTGGAAGTGTGTCCTCACAGGATGCAATGGTGCAGCAGCACCATCGGAGACCACGTGAGTGTCCTCCACTATTCACAGCCACCCACCCTTTGAGAATGGAGAACACATCCGACTAAATTAAGCCCGTGTAAAGCGTGTAAAGACTGACATCTCACGGGTGCTGCAGATCTACAACTTAGCGAGCTCGACCTCCTTGATGAAGATGATGCGCAACTGCACCCGCGTACTCTAATATTCAGGCGCACTGTACAGACACAGAGCCAAGTCCATCCACCACTGCCTGAGAGCAGGGCTGGCGTCACTCTAGAAGGAATATGGACCCAGACCGATGATGGCCGAGAGTTCCTCTGTGTAGAGCGGCGGTGAAGATGACAGACTTTTGCTGTTTGCTACAACGAGATGCTGGAATTATTGAGCGGCGGCTGACATTCTCTTTATGGATGGTACATTCTTTGTGTGTCCTAACCTGTGGCTACAAGTGTACATCATTCATTGTCTGGTGAATGGTAAAATGTTTCCTGTAAGACTTTCGTTGCTTCCCAACAAGACCAAGCGGACGTTATGTTAGGCTTTTCACTTTTCTTCCCGACAGTTCCGTCCGAGGTTGCCTATTCCATTATTCTCAAGCTTTGTGGCGTCAAGTTTTGGAGAGGGACTGTCTCATGACTACATGAACAACCCAGCAGTCCAAGCCCGTTCGACGAGCAGCTGCTTTGCCACTCCTTCCCTGAACCAGGTCCAAGATGCTTGGTTTGAAGTCATCGAGCAGTCTCCCGGCGGCGACAGAGTAGCAGCCTTCAGCGACTCGTCACCAGCACCTGGGTTGAAGATGATGCCAAGTTCCCAGCACACATCTGGAACAAGCCGCGAAAACACAGGCCAGCTCAAACAACCATCTTGAGGGATTCCACTCTGGCTTGAAGAAGCATACCCGATCACACCCAACATCTACCAATTAAGTAAAGGAGCTCAAGAAGATCGAGAAGGCAGACAGAAGCACAAGGCGACAGTTTGGACTTGGAGGAGCAAGGAGACCACGAGCACGTGTAGACCGTGATCGAGATCAGAGGATCGAGAGACTCAAGGTGCAGCTTTCCACCGGTGTGAAGTCTGTGATGCAGTTCCTTGATGCTGTTGGCCACATCCTCAAGCTAAACTGAGAACTCAATTCAATCAAACTCATAACTCTGTGTGCTCCTGATGACAATGAAGTGCTTTATTTATTTTAATTTAAAATCAAAGTTATTAATGTATTAAAGTAATGTGAATCACATACATTTGTTTGTTAATGGTGCATAAAGTTGTTTTGATAAGACTGTGGCGAAAGCGGTGATGTAGGCGATATGAGGACAGGCCGTTGTACAGTGGTAGATATTGGGTCTTGCATAACGGTAGACAGGATTAACACCTTTAAGGAAACTCTACAGAACATGCTCTGTACTTGAAATTTGCCCTGTAGTCTGTACTAGAAATTGACCTCAAGGACATTTCCTGGAAGTGTTCTGTCTGGGTTATTTTTACAAGGAAATAAACACCAACTTCTTATATTCTAAGTTGGCAGCAAATGATATTCAACACATTTTGAACACTTGCAAAATTAAAATAAAGAAATCGCTCAAAGCTAAAGTCAGTATGACATTCATATGTCTTAAGTTAAATTATATTATGAAATTTGATTATTAATTTTTAAATAATTCTAGTTATTGCTCTGAATATTCATGCAAAAAGTAATTCAAAACATCAATGTTTAACTTTATTTCTCATCATGAAAACTAAAATTGCAGTAATATCTTTTCTAATTTGATTTTGTTTGTATTTAATTAGATTTGAGCTTTTGAAGACTGTGCCATGTTTACTGTGGTTACAAATGAATCAGTGATATCCTGTCCTCCAGAATATGTTGAATACAACTGCTGGTATTATCGCTCCATCATGAAACTGATCAAGTTTTTGACAGTATGCCATGTGGTCTGATACTAGATCTATATTTTCAATTTCCTAATTGTTTTGTTATATATTGATTAGATAGGCTTGCAGGTTGATAAACACTTTGATTGTCCAGGCTGAGTTATTGACAAATTATTCTGTCAGTCACCCCGGCATTAATGATGCTGGATGTGACTCTACGTGTAACAATACCGCTCATACCTGGATAGGTGTAGGATGCGATATCGATCGTAAAAATTAGTATATTTTTAGACTAGTCAAGAGACTATAGTCTGTTTGCAGTGAAAATGTACCGATGAATTTTACTCTAAATGAAAAAGTAAATCGATTAAGGCGAAATTAAGATTACGAATCCTCATAATTTTACCTTGCCAATTGAACATTCAAATCTCACAATTTTATTCAACTTAGGATAAAAGTTGTTTAACAAACGATCATAGTTTCAAATCGTTATTATTGGTTTGTATTACAAGGGGGAATGCACATTAGATGAAACACGGAGAACAAGTAGGGCTAGTCTAAGTTAATGCTCATCACGTACCGCACGTGCCTTTGTTATCCCCCTCAACGTGTTTTGCGGGGGGTATTAAAATGGACTCCGTCCGTCCGTGCACATTTGTCTTTTCCGGAGCAGAACTCTAAAAAAGTTCAATATTTCTTCACCAAACTTGGCACATACATGGATCTGGTGGTGTACTGGTACCTTTTGGTAGTTTTGGAATTCTGAATGAAATATTTTTGGCGTTTCCATGGAAACAAGTTCGACTTTGACTGAAATTGGTGGTAGTGCTCTTTTCCGGAGCAGAACTCTAAAACCTTTCAATATTTCTTCACCAAACTTGGCACATAGATAGATCTGGTCGTCTACTTGTGCCTTTTGGTAGTTTTGGAATTCTGAATAAAATATTTTTGGCGTTTCCATGACAACAAGTTTGACTTAGCCTGAAATTGTGGTAGTGCTCTTTTCCGGAGCTGAACTCTAAAACAGTTCACTATTTCTTCACCAAACTTGGCACATAGATAGATCTGGTGGTGTATTTGTGCCTTTTGGTAGTTTTGGAATTCTGAATAAAATATTTTGTCATTTCCATGGCAACAAGTTTGACTAAAATTGAAATTAGTGGTAGTGCTCTTTTCCGGAGCAGAACTCTAAAACCGTTCAATATGTCTTCACCAAACTTGGCACATAGATAGATCTGGTGGTGTACTGGTGCCTTTTGGTAGATTTTGAATTCTGAATAAAATATTTTTGGCGTTTCCATGGCAACAAGTTTGACTTAGACTGAAATTGGTGATAGTGCTCCTTTCTGGAGCAGAACTTTCAAAACCTTTCAATACTCTCCTTCCATTTTTCTATATACACACCTAAATATTTGACATAATCATAACTCGTAGACATAATCATGAAGAGTATTTTGCCATTGCAGGGGATATTGATGACTTTGTCTTCTTGTTTCACTGTTCAATCTACTGCGCTAACCCCCTTGTAATACAAACCAATAATAGCGATTTGAATCTATGATCGTTTGTTAAACAACTTTTATCCTAAGTTGAATAA